TCATATCTAGATCTATCAATGATTCATTCACTGAGACTGGAGATCTAAGTTGTGGAAATTTCATATTTGTAGGTGGAGTTTGAACATTCATGGAAACAAAAATTATGATGTAGAAGGAAGATTGATGATACATATGAATATCAATACCTTCGCTTCGAAGTAATTTGGCTGTATTGGACCAATAGTCTTTCCGGCCCGGAGAGGCATAATACGGTTTTATATAGCACTATTCACTACATTACATTTTTTGATATAAACAGGCACTTTAATAGGTAGGTAGTTAAAAGAAGAAGCCCAATCAATATTACATTCTTTGTATACTTCTTGTACTCTTTCACAGACTTTCGTTCCCTCCACCCAACTACTTTTATGGTACTTTATAAAGTGATGTTTGTTTATACTGACTGCATTTACTCTTTATCTTACAAGCACTATTTTAATATTCTTGAGATCTAAGGTAAGATAGGGAAGACAGGTTCCAATTGTAACAGTTTAAATACTAAGGAAAAGGAGTGTGAAGTGATAACGCAAACATTCTGATATCAATTTCCTCATATGTTAACTTTTGAGTATGAAGTCCGATATCAACCCACTGTAGAGGATTCATGCTCAATCTTCATACTCAATCATATTTGGCTGATGTTGACAATGAGAAACTCTATGCATCATTATGGCAACTGCCATTTAAAGCTTGCGAATCAAACTAGCTCATTGCACCTGATTGATGGGAGAAGTAGTGATTTTGGAGGAATAACAAAATTCATATTATTTTGGAATTAAAATCTTTCTCTAATACTTACCTAGGTATCTTCACAAAATACATATACCATAATCTTTACGCAAGCAATTTTGGAGCAAACAGACACCGCGGCCTCCGTCTATCATTAAGGTCATGAAGCTCTATCCATGGTAAAATGCATACGGAGTTAGAATTTAGTATAGAAGATAGAGCAGTTACCGCTTTTTCAATGACCAGATACTATCCTTCAGATGGTTATGATTCCTCTTCAATGAGTACCATCTACTGTCAATACGGATCGTGTTTGTCACCTTCTTCCTCCTCTATCCACTCCGCATTCCTTGGTCAAAAGCATTATATCTCTTGTGTTTGTGATGTGTAGATGTATTCGCCACCATCGTAAATTACAAAACATGAAGGTGAGTGCAATCACATATCAAGCCCCCGAGTCCTTATTACTCAATGCGCTCGAAATGGTTGAAGATATACGAGATTATCTGCCCGATGGCAGTGGTTTCGAGAGCCTGCGTAGCATAATCTCCCAAAAAGTTTAATAAATTGAATTAGAGTGCTCATGGAGGTAATCCTTCATGTCCTCATAGTTTGCTGCATTGGAAATGATGATAGAATGTGTAAGTTGCATAGTTCTTACATGGTGTGAAACATCCGATGAGGTGAAGTGAAGTGATGTTCGAACCTTCCCAAATCCCAACCAAACTTTTACATAAGCAATCATGTGATTCACAGTCGATTTTAATGTTAGTCTTGCACGCTAGACTAAATGCAGATCCCCAATTTTTTTTATAATTAGCAAGTGCATTATTCTATCCTGCATGATTGAATTTGATTGTTCCTCAGTTTCCCAAAAATTCAACAAGCTATCCATCAATTATCATAAGAGTTCTCAAAGACACAAACTTTATTTTCTTTTGATTTGCTTTTGTGCATTTCATCAATATAGAAATCGTTTTCTGCAACATATTCTGATCATTGAAATAATCACCACATTTCCTCATTCCTAAACCTTAGGAACCAAAGCAACAATGGCCGATCCGCAACCTAGTATCACATCCATCCTGGCTGCTTTAGGTATTTCTTCCCTCCTGCTATTGATGATGGAAACCTGAAACTAACTTCCTTTCAGCAGCGCAGCGACCTAATGCGACCCCTCCGCAAAACCAGCAGCCTGCATACCAGCCACCCCCTCAACAACAGTCAAATCCTTATGGACAACCTGGCGGATACTCTTTACCTCAACCTACAAACTCAGGCAGTGTCGATCTCAGCGGTATCAAGCCCGTAAGCTCTGGAACTGTTAGTATTCAAGATGCTATCGCAAAAGCAAAGGTGATTGCTGCTGAGAAGGGCGTCTCTTACGATAGAGCTCCATCTTATGGCGGACAGCACCAGCCCATGCCTTCCGGTAGACCATACAGTCCACGATCGAGATCCAGGTCTCCGCAGCCAACACGTCGCGATGCATTCCGTGATAATTTCAACCCATATCGCGATGAAAGACGAGGCCCACCTGGAAGAGATTATCGCGAACGTTCATTTTCTCCCGGCCTACGAGGCAGAGTTCCTTCTGATGCTTTCCCACCTGCGCATGGGGGCTCAAGTGGCTATGTTCGTGAGCGTTCTCCAATACGCGGTGGAGAGGAGAACGTCGAATCAATTTCAATTGAATCGAATCTTGTAGGATTGATCATTGGCAGACAGGGCGAGAACTTGAGAAGAGTGGAGTCAGAAACCGGCTGCAGAGTACAATTCATTACTGGTCCTGATGAAACAGGCCCTTTTAGAACTTGCAAAATCACTGGTCCTCGTGCTCGTAGAGCCGATGCTAAGGCTGAGATTACTCGCATCATCGATGATAGTGGTTTGGGCCCACTTTCAGACCGAGCCCCAAGACAAGATAATAACACTAGAGATTCATCACACCAACCAGCATTGAGAGATGGCGAGGATAGTATGCAAATTATGGTTCCGGATAGAACAGTTGGTCTTATTATCGGTCGTGGTGGAGAGACGATCAGGGATCTTCAAGAGCGAAGTGGCTGCCATGTCAATATCGTTGGGGAGCAGAAGAGTGTTAATGGACTTCGACCTGTCAACCTCATAGGTACTCGAGAGGCTGCCGCCATGGCCAAAGACCTAATCATGGAAATTGTGGAGAGCGATAGTAAGAGTGCACCAAAGGAACGCGCACCCGCTCCAAGAGAGAACAACCGTGACGCGGGCTACGGTGGTGCTTATGGCAGCGGCGGTGGTGGTCAAGGAGATAAGATCAATGATTCTATCTTCGTACCTTCCGAGGCTGTAGGCATGATCATCGGAAAAGGTGGAGAAACGATTAAAGACATGCAAAATACGACTGGTTGCAAGATCAACGTTACCCAGTCTTCAGGACCAGGTGAGGTTGAACGTGAAATCGGTCTTGTAGGTTCCCAACAAGCGATAGCTGCTGCCAAACGAGCCATCGAAGATAAAGTTGAGGCTGTGGTAAGTAAATCATGTTCTACTGCCGTAACATTTCTGACATCAACTAGCAACAGAAAAATAATGGTGGTGGTGGCGGTGGTGGTCATCGTAACAATCGTGGACACCAGAATCAACAGAATGATTATGGAGACCGTGGCTATTCCCAACAATCATACTCCCAGCCACAAGGACAACAAGGACAACAAGCACCTCCAGTCGGTGCTGAAGACCCTTATGCAGCTTGTAAGTTTCATTTCTGGTTAGTTTGGAATTCTACTGATTAATTTTAGATGGTGGATATGCCAATTATGCCCAACTTTGGTACCAGGCATTGGCAGCGCAAGGTCAAAGTGATACAACCAAACCGCCAGGAACTTCGTAACTTTACGACAGTGATTACCAGCCGTAGGATGACTCCGACATTTGATTTTGCATGATTCGCATGACTTGCATGACATACGCTGAGACCATGACTTTCGATTCATTTTTCGTCGATATAGTATGCCTGCATTGCACATGATGACGATGACCGAAAACATTCGTACTTTTTCATTACTGGCCTGACATTGGTATACTATCTTCACTGAGTTGATCATGCAGCCCAGGATACTCTAACCTATGGATACACGATATTAGTATGCATTACTATTTTTACGATTCTTGAACATGCTTTTTATCAAACCATTCCGGAGCAGAAAACTAAAAAGAGATAATATCGACAAACAAGATCTTATCTATCAGTAGATGATGACCACCTTTGCGTATTATCTACTTTGATTTGTGCATTGCAATTGACCTGACAATCTACTTCTGCTTGACACCCATGATTTGGGCTTTCGGTACTGGATTTGATCTGCTTGCAATACTGATATTCATGCATGAACGTCTCTTCAATGGCTCTTATTTTCCATTAATGCTCCGGTCAGCATAATCATATACTTGTCAATGGAATTTGGATGTTCATTTTCCTGATAAGATGTGATGCTCACATGAGCAAATTTGGTTTGGTTGGTGAGCATGGTTTGGTCTGGACATATTTCAATGTGGTGCTGGCTGCATGCATGATTTGAATGCAACTGATGATTTACTTGCTTTGCTGAGTAATTTTGAATTTTGGCTTTTGCTATTGCTTGCTTGCTCGAATATTTAATCGAATTTCTTTTTCTTTTTTTCTTACTTGCGCGCGACGAATGGGTGGCACTTACCTGAAAGGTATAGTTGGTTTGGTTTTATGTGTTGGGTGGATGGTGGAGATATTACTACAAAAAAATCCATGGATGGAACGGAGTGGTGGAACGGACGATGGCTTTAGGAGGTAATGAATGTAAGATAGCAATAAAAAAATTGTTTCTTGTGTTCTGAAGAGTGTCTATCCTGTAATTTCTTTTCTAGGTATAGTATACACAGTGTATCTTAATGCACTTTTGACTTGCATCGGCTTTGCACAAGCTGGATGGGACCTTGGATCTTGGATCTTGCTTTGGGAGATTGTTAGATATGTGATAAATTACTCGTCTGGTCCAGGAACATAACGGAGCTTCCCTTTGAGCTTCATTCATTTTCATCATTCCTTATGGTTGGTTCTTCTCTTCAGCTGCTGGCTTATAGTGGTTAATCGATCATAATAGTATCCTATCTATCATTCATCCTGATTATTCCATTTCCTCTGGGAAAGTCATGTCATGTCGCATTAAATCAACCTCATAAGATTCTTTCTTTCTTTCCTACTAAGATCTTAGTATCTTAGTGTGTGTATAAAATCATCACATCCACTCTACCCTCTCTCCAACGATTTTCTCTGATCCGTTTCCTAAGCTTCTTCTTCTTCTTCTAGGACTGTTCACCATCAATAATCCTCTCATATAATAATAATTATCGGGAAATGTTAGATATAAGGTCACCTGTTTCAAAGCTCTTATGTTTACTGTTTCATTACCTACCCAGGTAATAATAAATAAGAATTGATATTCGATCGATCGATCGATGGTTGGTGCACGTGGTGAATCGTTATAATTCTGTAATTTCTACCTCTGTATTTATAATCTCGTAATAGGGGATTTCGGCTATGCGGGGTAGTATTTGTGTAATGGATTTTGTTGGGTTTGAGGTGTTTTGGGTGTTTGAGGTTTCTGGGGGTTGGAGTTGTGTTGAGGGTGATGGAGAGGTAGGTGGAGATGAGGATGATGGAGATGGAGGTCGAGGTCGAGATGTTGGTATAGACTCTTTGATTGTAAAGGAGCCAGTTGTGGAAGTGTATTTTTTGGTGTAGGGAGTGTGAGGGGAGGAGCGGCTTGAGGAGGCGATATAGTGCAGGTGGCCTGGTGGGAATTGTAGGTATGTGTTTGTATCTGTGTTTCTGTCCGTATCTGGCGGGTTGATACCGAGTGATGGAGAAAGTGGTGTGTTATATCTCCACAATAGGAATGCTTCCTCCTCCTCTTCACCTCCGTCTTTCTCTTTCTCTCCCGAATCCTCAACCTTCTTCTCCACTACTTCCTTAAGATCCCCTAGCTTCAAATTTCCCCATCTCTTACAAGTACCTTCTATAGAGCTATTGATTTCATATGTATGTATCCCATCTTCCAAAGCCGTATGAATAATTTCGAATTTCGTTTCTGCGTTCTCATTATCATTATGATTCTTCCCCTTTTCTTGCAAAGAACAATTGGCAAAAATAATCGGTATGTATGTTCCTTTTACCACCTCTTCATTTTCTCCATCCTCGCCATTTTTTCGGATGTATTCTACGCCTTCGATACAGAATAATAGTTGTTCATACTTTTTTCCATTGTGATGTGAATTGAGCTCCTCATTTGCAGTCTCTTTCTCGTATTCCCAGCATACATATCTCCAAGAAGCGGTGGAAATAATTCCTGGATTGCTAAAGCGGAAAGAATCAGAGTCGATTGGGAAAAAGTTTTGGAGGAGAGTGCGGGAGGTGGTGAAGGTTAGTTTTGCTGACGTTTTTGTGATTCTGGGAGTGAAGGTGAAGGTGGGATTTGGATTGATTTTAGGTATTGTTTGAGAGCTGGGTAATGCAGATGTGTAATTATGAGGGGGCTTGAGGATGGGTAAAGGTCCTATTGTGGTGTGAGGTTAATATGGGGGGTTAGTGAAAGACGGGACTGATAGTGATAGGAGAACGCACCAAAACTAGCGGGTATCAAATAGTAAGTAGAAAGTTGAGGATTACGTTTCCACATCCATTTCCTCAATTCGTAGGTCGAATTATCCCATTCGTCATGTTGTAGGTTATGGTTTACGAACTGAAGCACTAGATCAAGGTGACTGTTAGTGTTTGGAGGTATACTCGAGTACTAAGTATACTATCTTCTGCTCTTCTCTCTTCCTATACTTCCATTTTGACTGAGGATGAAGTGAGAAACAATGAAGCGACGAGAAGACGGAAAGGAATAAATCTCACTATCAACAACAACATCATTACCCTCCCCAGGATCCCTTCCTAATATCCTTGAAAACTCCTGGATTCGATGTGCCCTTCCGATTCTAATGTTTTCATACAGTTTCAACCTCTCTTGGATCTCCTCTTCCTTTACATCCCCCGGAAAAACAACAGCCAAAGCAGCCGCATCTTCGATAGCACTACCAGCGCCTTGTCCTTGATGTGGTAAATATGGATGAGCTGCATCTCCTAGAAGAACGAGATTTTCCCTTGTAAAATTAGGTAGGGGATGCATATCAAGGAGACGCCAAACTTTAAGAGTGCCTGTAGTGTTTATATCGGAAGAGGTAGGCGAACGTGCCATTTTTAACATCTCTAACATATCTTCATCCCAACTCTCGTAAATCTTCAATAGATTTTCTTTACTACCACCTTTACCCCATCCCTCCCAATTTTTCTCAGATTCAGATAATGCGTCAGGATGTATACATACGAAATTAAGCAAAGAGTTGGAAGATGTCGGATATACGACTACGCGACGATCGGTACCGAACCACATGATTAGTTCACCTTCTTTTTGCATGTGTTTTGCGGTTTTGGGATTGGAGAGAACGGATGCTCGGGTGAGGAGGAAGCGATAGGCACTTTTACCGCTTGGGAATGGTTTTATCGAAGAGGAGGGGGCTTGGGTGAAGGATCGAGTTAGGCTGTGGACGCCGTCTGCGCCAATTATCAAATCCCCGGTGTGAGATATGCCGTTTGAGAAATAGACGGTAGAGGTGACGGGGTCGAGGGTAGTAACTTTATGGGATGTGAGGAGGGTGATGGGAAGGTTTGGGGGAGATGGTGTGAGGGCTTTAGATTTGAGATGAGAATGAAGTTGCACGCGGTGAGCTAAGAGCCAAGGCTAAGTGGTTTAGTTGGGCCTTGATAGATTGAAGGGAAGGAGAAAGTACATGGTGCCATTTTTTAACCATCTCGACTATATCCATACTCCGATTCAACGAACCAGTCGATGTATATTCTGTCATCTAGTTGGAACAGTCGCTGTTAGTGATTTGCCTGTAGATGTATGCAAGCCTTTGAATCAAAAAGGGGGAGATGAATCAGAGCATCGAATAAGTGGCACTTCCTCATATACATACCCAATTGAATGGATTCGCGCCACTCTCCTCCAGGAAAATATTCAATCGTCTCAGAATTCCATTAGCATTCGGCTGAATATGTATTGCAGCGCCATATTCCGAAGCAAATTGAGATTGTTCAAATATCTACATCCTCGTGAGCTTGAGAATCTGCAGCTAAGTTTACTTTCCAGTGAAAGCTAGGAGAAAGTATAGATAGCGGGCATGGGACAAAACACACAGTTATTTCATGACCTTGTTCTCTCAAAGCAATCGCAGCAGTTAGACCACCGATGCCGGCGCCTATGATCAAGATTTTGAGAGGCATGGTGAGGTGTTTGGTAACAAGATATCAGACAATAATATATTTTCTTCAGTATTGAATGTTGACTTTGAGAATTTGACAAATTCGATCAAACTTCGAGGTATCAAGAGCTAATGAAGGAGAGATGTCGTTGTTGTGACGTCGTACTTGTGACTCCCAACGAGAGTGGTGATGCGAGAACAGCGATTCAGCCGAATGAGGGATTCGGCATATGAATAACCTCACATGCTGTGTAACCTTTGAACGACTCGACATTTATGTACTCAGACTTCATATCGACATTACATACCAAGGATAAGAACTCTTCCCGTGTCTTTTGATGCATGCTGATCCCCGGAATTAGTTTTATGTCACTCATCTTGACACTTACAATGTTTTCCTCATTGGTTGTTAGTTATAGACCTAATCATTTGGACAGTACTCAGATGAGTGAGCAATCAATGGATTGAGAAATTCTGGCATTCTCGGACATTTTGAAGATTCCGAATGGTTCAACCTCACGTATAGTAACCTCAAGAGCAGAAAGCCACTACAAGAGAGTGGTGATTTTTGGGATCGCTTTTCCGGCCCATTTTCATGCCGGAACAACTTGGATTAATCTAAAATCACGTGCAATCCAATGTTGCATTTAGATGATCAAACCAAAGCGAAATGCAAAGAAGGGGGCTCTTCACTACAAGTAGCCTTTGCATGAAGTACTTTCTGACTCTGCTTCTTTTTTTATGATGCAATCTTGATTCTAGATGAGAACAGATGGATACCCTTTTAGCTGACGGAGCATATGAGAAATACTGTCGAAAACCACTAGGAATTTTGAATGAAATTTTAATATACTATACAACCTTTATTGCTGATTTCATCAAGAGGATCTATATTAATAATAAGACCTAAATCCGCTGGTTGTTGTTGATGCACGTGTTCCTGAGGAGAGATGGTGTTTGTCAAAGTTAGGACGGAAAAGCCTTTCCCCTCATCCCTGGTCAAGCCTCGACCGAAGATGAAGGGGTACAAAAAATGACAGAAAAGACCTTTTGCCGTATTTGAAATGCAATGAAGCCCAACATGAACCTTTTGATCTAGAGACATGATGATTATTGATATAGTGTACAGACTTTTGGATCATTTACTATACAGGATGAATTGTTCATCTTTAGCGCTTGTGTTGTTGTTCTTGAGACTTTTTGAATCCAATTATTCAACAGATCTAGTGGGGCATCGCAAACTTCTACCCCCCCAAACTAATCCTGAGTAGGCCAAAAACCCCTCATAAACCTTGCTCACTCCACTTTCTCTCATCTCTGATTCCTGCAAGTCCTGCTACTCATGCAACTTCTGCAACTCCTCCAACTCCTCCAACTCTCCGATTCTTAAAAAACTGGAATGAGTGGAGTAGCTTTTGATAACGCTTGGAGGGGTCCGTCCCGCATGAACTCAGTCCTACTCCTACTCGCTCTTGTACTGTTTGTTTTCGTGTTTAAATCTCATCTCATACTAATATATTAATAAATGTGATAAGGCACTGACTGATAGGGTTTGGAAGAGTTGTGTCGGATCTATATGTAGGAAAATCGGATTTATCATTATTTCTTCGAACCATCCATCCAACAGAAACACAATAACCTCAAGGCTTCCAAGCTGTTGGCGCTCACACAGTCAAAAGTACTAGGTAGACGGACGACGCCAACTCTGAGACGGATCCCATCCTATCCCCATCCCATCCCACCATGTATTTTCATCAGATACGTCACTCTAGATTGCTGCTCCGCTGCAACAACCCAAGCTATTTATCATTTATCCCCCTCCACCCTTGTTTATTTTGATCCTCATCCACCAAAGACCAACACGTCTAGAACGAAGGAAACCTAGAAAAACTTCTTCGTTCTTCTTAGTATGTTAGTGATAGTTAATAATAGCCTCTCACATCGTCGATGGCCTGCAGAATAATAATAACCTTGGTTTTACCCTACATACTTACTCGTGTAAAGGAAGAAAAGATCGAGTCGAATTTTCCTATCTTGTTTGCATAGCTACTGGTGTACTGTACCTAGCTATCTGAGTAGCACGCACAACCTTTCGCTCCCAGCCGAGAAGCTTAACACCCATTTCATTCTTTAGCTTCTTCAACCCTCTCCGTCCCTTGACTTTTCCCTTATGAGCCCACACTAGTTATTTAACTTTTCTTGACATCTTCCCATAAGAAGAACTTGATTTGCTCAATATCAAATCAACAAAAGTCTTCGCAAACTGGTTGATAGGGATTGCGCTCTTTGTCCGTCGAGTGAAACCATATCAGTGATCGCCGCCGTCAACTTTACCCCACCATAATTTCACAATGGTACAGATTGATTCCCATGAATATCTGTCTGAAGAGGAGAAACGTCTAAAGGAAGATCGTGAGAGAAAGAAGTATTGGAAGAAATGGGGTCCTTATGTTGCTGAGAGACAATGGGCTACAGGTACTTGTTCTCAACAAGTTGTTTGTGAGCTTATCAATGCTAATATTTACCAACAGTGCGAGAGGATTACAGTGCCGATGGTGATGCGTGGAGTCGTGAGTTTTACTTCTAGATAGCACTTTATACACTTCTGACGATTGGCAGATTTCCCTCATGAACATGCGAGATCCAGAGCTTTCAGATGGGGAGAAGATGGTATTGCCGGAGTCTCGGATACACATGGTTTTCAGAATGTCGCTTTTGCTTTCTGGAACGAGGAGGAGTATGTTGCATTGCTATTTGAGAACATATTACTCAGGAACTGATTTGTATACAGTGACTTTTTAAAGGAACGTCTCTTCGGATTATCGAACCCTCAAGGAAATCATGGAGAGAGTATTAAGGAGGCACATTTCCACGTTGATAACACTCCAACGGTTAGTCGAATACTCAACACTTTACATGAAGAGGAAACTGACAGTCATTTAGCATTCCTACATGAAATATTTGTACAAATATCCCCAAAAGAAATTTCCATACGAAGATTTGATCAAAGAGAACGCCAGAAGAGGCAAGGAGGAAAAGGAATATCAAATTCTCGATACCGGCATTTTCGATGACGACCGATACTGGGATATCTATATTGAGACTGCGAAAGATGAGGATGATCCAGATGAGCTTCTTTTCCGAGTCACCGCATGGAATCGAGGCCCTGAGCCAGCGCCACTACATATCATTCCTCATCTCTGGTTTAGAAATACTTGGGCTTGGGGTCATGAGGCCGAGGACAAGAAGCCAAAAATCAACAAGGTTGGAGAGAATGTTGCCCACGCTCGTCATCATAAGCTAGGTGAACGATACATGATCTTGTCTCCTTCCCCTGGTGTTGGACCCAGTGGCGTTGATGTTCAACCCGAATTGATCTTCACCGAGAACGACACAAACAATGCTCTTCTTTACAAAGGGAAGAATGCTCAACCATATGTCAAGGATGCATTCCATCGTTACATCGTAGACCGAGAGAAGAAGGCAATTAACCCCAAGGAAAATGGTACCAAATCTGCAGCTTGGTACAGTTTCAATGAAGGTGGCGGAGTGGCACCAGGAGAGTGCGCAGTGGTTAGATTCAGAATGTCCCAAAAGTACTCTGACTACTTGGATGAAGAAGAATTCGATAATACTATGGATAAACGAAAAGATGAGGCTGACGAGTTCTTTTACCGAATCAGTCCTTTACCAATGGCTGATGATCTTCGAAACATTCAAAGACAGGCTTTTGCTGGTATGATGTGGTGTAAACAATACTACCACTTCATTTGGGAGCAGTGGGCGAATGGTGATCCAGCTCAACCTCCACCTCCACCAGATCGTAAAGCTGTTCGAAACTTAAATTGGAAACATATGTATCTGGATGATATTTTATCCATGCCAGATTCCTGGGAGTATCCTTTCTTCGCAGCATGGGATTCAGCTTTTCACTGTATTCCACTTGCCATGATTGATCCAGATTTCGCCAAGAAGCAGTTGGATCTTTTCACAAGAGAGTGGTACATGCATCCTAATGGACAACTTCCTGCCTATGAATGGAATTTTGGAGATGTTAATCCACCTGTTCATGCTTGGGCTACTTTCCGTACATTCAAGATTGAGAGAAAATTATATGGACGTCAAGATCTCGATTTCCTTGAACGAGTTTTCCAAAAATTACTCCTCAATTTTACTTGGTGGGTTAACCGCAAGGATTTTGATGGAAAGAATGTATTTGAGGGTGGTTTCCTTGGCTTGGACAACATTGGTCTTTTCAATCGTTCCGAGCCATTGCCAACTGGAGGTACTTTGGAACAAGCAGATAGTACTGGTTGGATGGCATTCTACTGTCTGTGTATGTTGAACATCTCATTGGAGTTGGCAAAGCATCGTCGGATCTACGAAGATATCGCCTCTAAATTCTTCGAGCATTTCATGCTTATTAGTGATGCCATGACTTACAAGTCTGGCTCGGGAGAGAAATCTCTATGGAACGACGATGACGGCTTTTACTATGATGCTATCTCGTATGGTGGACCATGGACTCAGCAACTACCTGTCAGATCTTTAGTAGGATTGATTCCATTATACGCTACCCTTACCTTGGAGCCAGAGCTCATCAACAAATTACCAAACTTCAAAAAGAGAGTCGATTGGTTTGTTGAGAATCGACATGACGTTGCTGAACGTAACATGGCCAGTATTCAAAAGAGAGGAAAGGGTAACAGAATTTTGTTATCACTTGTCAGCAAAGATCGTCTCGAGAAAATTCTTAAACGCATGTTGGATGAAGATGAGTTCCTCAGTGAACATGGTATTCGATCATTGTCAAAATTCCACGAGAAGAACCCAGTTTCCATGGACGTAAATGGACAAGAATTCAAGGTTCAATATGTACCTGGTGATTCAGACAGTGGCATGTTCGGTGGCAATAGTAATTGGAGAGGTCCAATTTGGCTTTGTGTCAACTTTTTACTTGTCGAGTCCCTACAACGTTTCTACATGTTCTATGGACCATCATTGCAAGTCGAATGTCCAACTGGATCAGGAGATATGATGCATCTTGGACATGTTTCTGAAGAGATTCAACATCGACTCCAACATCTTATGGCACGTGGTGATGATGGACGTCGTGCTATTAATGATGGTAATGATATTTTGGACTTTGATCCTAACTGGAAGGATAACTTATGGTTCTATGAATTCTTTGATGGAGATAGTGGTCGTGGTTTGGGTGCTACGCATCAATGTGGTTGGACTGGTTTAATTGCTAGGATGATTCACGATACCGGGTAAGCACTTTAACATACAAAATCACGTCCATTTATAGATAAGTACTTACTAACATAACTAGAATCTCCTGTCGTCTCCCACAAACCCCTCGTACACCCTCTACAGGAATGAATCACTACTTCGACGACATCTTCACACGTCACATCGCCGGCGCAAATGGCAAATCCCAAAAATCCCCTAGACCATATCATCTCCGTCGTACCTCAACTGCTCGATCCATTGGTGCACGCTCAGATTTCGGTGATCATGATCATGAGTTTGATGAAGAAGAACAGCGTGATCACGAAGGAAGTGTAGCTCCAATGGATGAGCAGAGATTAAGAGAAAGGGAAGAGGCTGATAGACATGTGGCCAATTATATTAGTGAGCAATTACATCGCGTGAGAAGTCATGACAGTGCATGGGAGGATAGGGTCGGGGATGAGTTTGAGGCGCAATTGGATGAGAATTAGAGTTGGACCTTAGGTGGTGGCTGTGAATAGAGAAATGATAAATGGTGATGAAGATGAAGATGCTGTAGAGAGTACATAAGATACAGCGGAGGATATATATAGGTGCAGCTGTAGGCGTGGGAGATACATGAGATATAGATAGATAAGAGCTAGAGTTAGAGCTAGAGCTAGAGTAGAGCTTAAAGAGACAAAAAATTTCAGGTAGATAGATTTTAGATAGATGCTTGCATGCATGCATAGTATTCATATTCAGCGATTTTGAGTTCATGTTCATGTAGATATATATATTGATTTTGATAAAGCGAATGAATGGGTGAATGCATTGAATCTTGAATTAACACATCAGATTTTATTCATTTTTCGTGGTCTTCATTCTATTACATCTAGGATGTATTTAACATTAACAATATTATGCAAATGTAAATATGAATATGTATATATGTGTGTGTGTGTTTAAAAAGGGGAAATAATAGATATCTTCTAACAACGTTTCCTGTACGAGTGAACTCGAGTATTCCATTTCAATGATTTTTCTTCTCTGACTCTCTGCACCTAGATAGGGAAGTGTTTCCTCATTGACTGTATCAAGATTTTTCTTGGGGGTAGGGGGGGGGGGGGATTTTTTGATTTTTGGAGCAGTTGGGTTTATTTGCTCGGTACCTGTATGTATATGCATGCACTTTACCGATTTTGCCGAGTATTGACAGAACCTACAGCTAACTTCATGTATCGGTCATTGTATCACCAAATGTTCATGTTCAGCTACTATTGTAGATTTCTCCGAATTTAGTTGAGGAAATGTTCCATCTATTGCACTTCATTCCATTTCTATTCTTACTCATGTAGGTAGGTTGGTAAAGGTAGATAGATTAGGTGAATGTCGACTCGTTTCTCCCACTAATCCCCTGCTCTCATCCTCCCGCGTCACTCTTCTCCTCTCCCTCACAGCTGAAAATAGCTCAAAGAAAACATCTCGTTTCCCTAAACTTTTAAAAATCGATTGTCGTGAGAACATATTGTGTGTAATGAAGTATTTACAAAGTATCAGTGAGTAACTTGTTCATCTTGGCGATACGGCTGGAGACGCTAAGATCGATGGTTCGGTCACCGATTTCGACGATGAGTCCGCCGAGGACGTCTGGGTTGACCTTTTGAGGTGTTAGTGATTTCGCTGGTAGTTTTGTGGCGAGGAGGAAGTATATGGAAGGGATATGTCAAGAGTGCATGTGAATGGATTGGAAATGAGATTGGACATCGGATTAACGGATGTAACGAACCTTGTTGGTAACCTTGAGCTTTTTGCCTTGACCGACGTATTGGGATTTAGAGACGGCGGATTCGAGACGGTTGAGAGTTTTGGAATCTAATTGCTGTTTGTTGGATGTTATGTTAGCCTATTTCTTTCCACAAAAATATCATATCTCTTCAAATAACACCACTATGCCCCTCTTTCAAAATACCTCCAAACCCCTCAATCCCCCAACGACAAAATCCTCCAACCAGAGAAATATAAACTCACCGAAGCACTAGTAACAACCAACTCAATTTCTCCTCTAGCAGCACCCATCAACTCCCCAAACTTCTCACAAACACCCTTCAAAAGCGACAATCTATTGTTTTCCGCAAGTGTCTCCAAGAAGTTCTTAACGGTATCACCTTTATCCTGACCACCAGTATGTTTCTGGAGCTCCTGGATAATTTGTGATTTATCCTCTACGGAGAGAGTTGGTGCTTGCATGATAGTTGCGAGCTTGGCATCTTTTTGGAAGATGGCGTGGAGGGATTGGAGGGAGCGGGCTACGCTGTCGAGGGTTGAGGTTTTTGCGGCTGCGGTGTACTATAGAAAGTGAGTGATTAGCTTTGTTTCTAGTAGTAGGTGACAATCCCGATGTAGATAAAATCCCCTCCAGCAATTATTCTCCCCTCCTCTGTGCCCATCCTCCTTCCCCTCCATTCCCTTCCACTTGCTTTGCCCCCCAACCTCCAACTCTTCTGCTTTAATCCCGCAATCCTCTTCCACCCACACCCAAGAAAAAGCACACATACCAAAGCACTAGCATAAGTACCATCAACACCATACAAAGCCACTGGGGGCTTGCTATCCACAGCAGCAGGAGCCGCATAGTTTCGGACCGCTTGGGTAAAGACCCTTGGGGTGGCGACCCTAGGAGCCCGGAGAAGAGTTCGACTCGAAATCATATTTGCGGATTTTATCGTCTCAATTGGTCCGTTTGTAAAGGGGAGATGGTAGGTAGTAAGAGAGCTTGATGACAGGATTGTGCAGAGGTGCCGGAAGTTTGGATTTTCGAGCCGATCCTAGGTCACGTGTATGTATTTCGTTGGAGCGATTTTGCCCGAGGTTTTGGGATCATGCATTTTTAGGTGGGATGAGCGTAGTTGAAATGGTTATTTTTTATTATTTAGATGATATCAGTGAAATTTTTATTCCTTCGATATGCTTGAGTATCTGTTTGATACCTCAATTTACGTCTAGATGTGAGAATAAGATTTTCCAATGCCTTCCGATACACTCCGGCGAAATCAACTTGCGTCCTATGTTCATATTGGAATTCAAACCATGAAAGAGAGAGTAGGAAATACTTCAATGGGACACCATTTCTCAATAACGGAAATGATTGAAATTAAATATTTGACGATTGCTCGCTGGTAACCTATAAGTACATTCCCATCCCCAATGCCCTGCCTTTTCGGCCCAACCTACCAACCAACCGCCTTAGAAGTCCTTCCCCATTCCATGACTCCAGAATTACCTAGGTATGCCCAAACGCCAATAGAAAGAATACATGTATCATCGCCTCATCATTAATAAATCCTCTAATCTGTCCTAAGCATACTGTCGACCAGATCACCTAGAGGTCCCCAAAAATCTTTACCGCTTGCAAGATCATGTTCATCAATGAAGAGAACATAATGCTTGAAGCTTGTGTTAAGATGAGCTTCTAACCCAAGCTCACGAATAACAGGGTAATGATGGCAGTAGATATGAGCATAGACTCGATACATTCTTTTGAAGACTTGTTTAATCATAGTTGAGAATCCTTTTGGAAAAGGGACACCTATCTGACATTAGGAACTCATCTTATGGAGTTAGAAGTAGTTTTAAAATGCATACCAATTCTGCTTGGGAAAACAGTTTCATTGTCAATACTAGCTTGAACCCAGGCCATTAAATGTTCAATATACGTTGGTGCAGGCATCTTAGTCGGTCGTTTGAAATTCTCATTATCTTGCCAAAGATATTCGAACCTGTAGAATATTAGTATTGATATTCATAATTCATATGTGATATGTGATATCATACTCATCCGTAGCCTTCATTTCTGGACAAGATTGTGGTGAGCAGAACTCTGTGATCGAACCATAAAGTAGATTTATGTGGTTGTAGAAATCCACCACTGTTGCATCATAAGCTCATGCCAACGATCTATACCATATAATTTCCTTACTGTTGACTGCAAGCCACTCATTCTCATCTTCACCCTCAGGTAATTTAACGACCTTTCTCAAGCTACCACCCCCAAGCGTTGCTTCAGCATATTGCCTCAATTGATAACTCGTTGTGCCTTTGTGAGCATTTCGCGGTCGAAATTGGTTTCGCGTACGTTGGTTACTATTGTTTCCTCGTTGTGAGTAAGATGGTACATGAGCAGGTTCAGGTATTTCTATAAAAAACGGATCATCCACTTCCTCCACAGGTTCCAATTTCACTGAAACTGTTGCTGCAGAATCAGACCCTGTGAGTCCACATATTGGCGGTGATTGCTTCGTTCGAGGGCTCCAATATGCGAGAAAAGAAGTCATAATTATATAGGGATAAGGATCACAAACACGGTAGTGATGAAGGAAGTCATCTTGCTTTAAATGAGGGGCGTCTTCTACATTCCGCAGGTTAGCTGGGCGATACAAGACAATTATGGAAAGGGGAATTGTACTCACCTGCAGTTCTTTTACAATCCTGTACAGTAGATGTTTTTGCTGTTCAAAGTGAACGGGTTGTAAATTGTAATTACAAGAGACGTCGTAGTTGCGCCCAAAGACAAAGAGGACATTAGATGTAATGCAGCGTTATCGTTGAGGGAGAGTTCTCAGTAGTGATTGTTTACACTCGCTGGGTTGATTTTGGTTGGCTAAGTTACCCGTACAATTAAATCGCCAAATGAATCCAATCGCAATCTCGCCGCACTTTCCTCCCGCTTCTTGTGATCTAGCCTTCGCATAGAATAGACTACAGTAACCGATAGCCCTGGCACCAACAAACACTTACCTACCTACATCTAATGTTCTTCAGTGTCAAAAGCTTAAATAACTAGTAATAAGAACACAATTCCTACTTTATAACTCGAAAAAGCTTCATAAATACTAGTCACAATACGGTACTCAATTGAACTTTTTCGTTGTTTCACTATGCGGGTGGATTCATGTGAATCGAAATTATTGCGACTGCATTCATGACTGGTAGATTAGATCTCCTTCGAAGAGGAGGAGTATCAATCGCCAATAGAGCGAAATGTCAGCTCTTCAATCCAATATTCGTGTTTTTATACAGTGGAAGGAACAAACTGTATTCGCTGGCGAAGATATAGAGTGTCAAATTACTTTCAAAAATGTTGCGACGACTCCGCCATCATCAAAATCATCATTAAATTCATCCGGATCCAATGCGTTCCTTCAGTCACCCGAAAGGCACAGAAGACCTCCGTCGCAGATTAAGAATTCCTCCTTGAGTCCACGATCTGGTATTCCAAACAGAGGTGACCATCGATCATCTCTTTCCTTGACGGTACCACCCGAATCAGTACATTCAAAACAATCGGAACAATGGAGTCGTGGAGTATCGAGGTATGGGAGAGGAGGAGAAGGGCACAAGCGGTCCCTGTCTATCATATCGATGGGAGCTAGTGAGAGTGCTGCCGATGAAGCCGCCAGTCACGGAAGCTTGGCTGAGAGGTCTGATAGAGGTGAAAGAGGTCATGGCCGGTCTGCAAGCTTGCAAATCGTTCCGCGAAGGAATGGACTTAATGGAGGACCTATGACAGGTAAATAACTTTTGAGATTCAAGGAAAGAAATGGCCATTGATATCTTTTAGCACCACTTAACTCCCGAATACCTCCGCATTCTTCTCCGACGATGGGCTCGTCTTTCCCACCGAATTCATCCGTACCGAATACCCAACGACGACATACAGGTACAAGTACTGTGCCAGGTACAACAGGACTTGGAGCACATGTTGCAAGACGTAAAGAATCTATTCCACTTGCTCCGGCTTTTAAATTTCCCTCTTCGCCGACGCATAGCCGGCGAAACTCACATGTTGAAGATGATAGCGCAAGCTACAAATCTCATGATAACAATCGATTGCTCTCGCCAAGGTCGAGAGACACTACTCTTAGTATACCGGACCAGATAACCCCGGCACCTATAGCAAGAATACTCTCACCCTCTAGTATGGGGGGAACACCACGAAGTAGCGGGGAATTCTACACTCTAAGCAACAACTCAACGGAAACTCTCGTCTCCGAATACTTGCCACAACCATCAAATCGAATGCCTCCGTACAGTGGGCACCATATAAAACGATCTTCGAACCTAGCTCCAAGTAGCAATCACAAGGCACCAGAAACTTTGATGATGGGTTACGCTCAAATACATGGGTCTTTTATGCTAGATCCAGCTTTAATTAGTCAAGCACCATTTGAAGAAGTGAAACGGAAAGGTGCAGTCGGTGGGCAAGGTGGTGGTGTGATTGGAGTCGAAACCAATAAGAGAGACAGTGGCCTCTTGCGAACCTTTGGTTGGGGGAGCATAGGTGAATCTATCGGTGGTCTATTAGGAAGTGGCGAGCTCAGTAGCATTAAAGATATGCGAGGTATGGTAAATTCTCGTTCAATACCTTTACTTTCGACTCCTCAATCGATTTTGTTTGTGGATTTAAAGCTGGTTCCTGGGGAAAGTCGGAGCTACAAATACTCTTTCAAATTACCGAGAGGTTTACCTCCTAGCCATCGAGGGAAGGCTATAAAGATATCTTACAAACTAGTCATCGGCACTCAAAGACCAGGAGGTGCCAAAGAGCAACAAGTCAAGTCCGTTGAAATCCCATTTAGACTCCTAGGGAGTGTGAATTCTCATGGAGAGCTTCTTGGGCATGATCTCATGTTACCTTATATACTACTTCGAGATCAAGCCCGAATTCAAACCATTAATATACCATCCAACGAGGGCTTGAATTTATCACCAAAAACGCTTTCGATTAATACACATAAATCGCAAAAACCAAACGATTCTAATCTAAGCGATTTCCTTGCATATGTTGATGAATTGATTTCGAAGCCACGAAGAAATTCTAGCTTTGGCCTATTATCACCCACAGACACTATAGGATCCAGGCATCAGTCTATCATTGAAGAACCTGCAACTGCAAAAGAAGCTATTGATATGGCCATCCTTCGCAGTAACATCGCCACAGAATCCCGACAAAGTGCGAATCGATTCGAAATCGCTCGTGGTGGAAAGCGAGTTGCGGTAGTCATGTTAGCTAGACCAGCATATCGTCTAGGTGAAACCATCACTGTAGCTATCGAGTTTACTGATGCTGGAATTCCCTGTTATGCAGTCCATTGTGCTTTAGAAACATCCGAGAAGGTTGATCAATCTATCGCACTACGTTCAGAAGCAAGCATATTTCGTGTCACTCGCCGTGTTCACGTTTCGCATTCGGAATCTACTCTCTTTGCTCGCCGCATAGTTTTTTCTCCTACAATTCCTGTCACGGCAACTCCTGAGTTCATCACTAGTGGCGTATCACTCGATTGGCGTATTCGCATAGAATTTGTTACACCTAGACTAGCAACCATTGATAATGAGGTTATTGATTTATCCCCGGCATTGTTGGAAGAATATACGAATGATGAACGCGGGGTGATCTATGCAGCAGTTCAAGGACTTGAATGTGAAAGCTTCGAGGTTGCTGTTCCAATTAGAGTATATGGTGCTTTGGCTGGCACTACAGAAAAAGAAGAAAGCGAAGGAATGGGCCTTGTTGTGTAACGGATACGAGATTATAAATGATAAATAACAAAAGATATGGGTGGGTTACTTGGATAGGGTTATATTCAGTGTCTAGTATTCTCTAGATGTTTTCTAGATGTTTTCATGACCATGCTTGGAGCTTTATGATGATCAATGATCAATGCTTCCATAGACTATATCATAAGAAAGAGATGAAAGGAGTGGAATAGGCATGCATGCATGAATGATGAATGATGGAGGTGAATTGAAACAGTTGTCTTGAAATATACTAGATGAGATTAGATATCTATGAAAAAGAAGTTCAAATGGGAATTTTCAAGTATCATCTGAACCACTTTTCCAAGTCATCATTGCACTCCGACGGTTATGGTCATATACTCTATTTGACACAAAGGCTAGGATCTTTTAAAGTTTACATTCAGAGTAGCCCTATAACATATGTTACATTGAAGAGTAAAAGCCACAGGGCGGAGTTACCAGAAGGGGTAATCGGGTCGGTAATGGTAGTTGTTGGCAGCGGACCCAATTTTTGACAAGCAAAGTGCTTGTAAGAATGGAGAATTAGTCGGTCAGAGTAGGATTGACATGCATGACTTCCTGTTGGTATTTGTTAGAGCTTGGACGAACAGTAAATACCTGGTGTACCTTCTCCTCCTTTTGCACTTTTCTTTTCAGTGGAGACATCACCGACGCCTAACCATAATAGCGGGAGGAAACCAAGTGGGTCCGCTCGGAATGGAGCATTTGGGGATGAAGCTGGGACTCGGGGAGGTTAATTCCGACCCATTATTCTTTACGTTTCTCATCCCATCTTGTGTGAGGCTGTGAGCGTTATGGCTTGGCGGCGGATTAGCTGTTTCTTTGTAGGTGACTTTGAAAGTATTTATTGTATTTTGTATGTTCATTAGGTAATCAGATAACCGACATAGCGAAAGCATCAGGAGGCAAATGATAGTAACAGAATCTTTGTCAAGACTCAACAGCTTTTTCATATGTCAATGCAACGTGCTTGCTGCATGAATACATACCAGGTACCGGTGTCGTATTCGCCTTTTTACAAAGCAAAAATCTTAAAAATTTCATGGAGAATCTCCACAAGTTTAAAGTTGGCTGTTATCACGAGTTCCCCAAATTCCCCACATCACCAAACAACATGCACTCGTGTCTCCCCGCGATTTTCCCAGAGGTTGGTAAAAGTGGGATGGGTTAAATCATGGATCAACTCCGGATTCTTTTCCTCACGGTCTTTCGGTATTACGTCGGTCAATTTTTACCATGGGGAACTAATTCGCTCTCTCCGCCGTCCGCTGGATCTTTGATTCTTGAACTTGAACAACCACGACCTACCTAGTATACACAGTAGGTATTGTATCGTGTCATTCTACAAGATCCGCGTCTTGGCATCTGACTCGAGCCAATCATAGTTTGTCTTTGTAGTCTTGATGACTGATGAGGTTATGGAGTATAATGGTTGGAGGGTTTACCAAGTTTCCAGCAAGCGACAAACAAACTACCGTCTACTCCGTATAGTACTTTCCACCAGGAATTCCTGAAAGAACAGACTCACTAATCTTCCCGCTCAGGGATTGTCCAAAAGCCGGGGCCGGAGATCTTGCAGGGTCATACAATATTCCCGTTGTAATTAAGTACCATTAGGAATGTATGATGACATTTTCACCGATTCGTTATCCTCTCCGCTAATATCTTCTAGAATACTTTTCGCTGCAAGTGAAAATGAATTCCCGAAGATTTGCCATCATCAAGTTTATAAGTAGAGGAGATTGTCCAAAGAAAAGAAACCAGCAGCTCCAGTAGACAAGTTACAATGGCTCCCTTACTTGACATTCTCTCCGTCCTCGCTGTTAGCATTGCTACTGTCAATGCTAAAGCTTGGGACTCTTCTTTGTTCACGACATCTCCTCCAGTCTACCCTTCTCGTACGTTAATTCCTTACCCTTCTCATATCCCATATGTGTTTGGCTCCAAGGACCTCACAGTCCTTAGGGACATAGCACTTGGATTTCTTCAATTTATTTCATATTGAACAATACTAACATCTTTTCTAGCTGAATTACAAGGCACAGGATGGGAAGAGGCTCTCATAAAAGCTAAATCCTTCATCGGTAACCTCACATTAGAAGAAAGAGTTTCACTATTGACTGGTTCAGATGGACCTTGTGTTGGGTAAGAAATTCCATCATCTCGTCTTCTTCTCTTACTAATCCTATTACAAGTAACATCGCACCAATCCCACGTGTTGGATTCAAGGGACTTTGTCTTCAAGATGGTCCACTTTCCTTGAGAGAGGCTGATTATGTCACCGTTTTCCCTGCTGGTCTCACTGCCGCTGCATCCTGGGATAAAAGTCTCATGCACACACGAGGAGAATACCTTGGTGCTGAGTTTCGTGGTAAGGGTGCACATGTCTACTTGGGACCTGTAGCTGGTCCACTTGGTAGAAGTGCCATGGCAGGAAGAAATTGGGAAGGATTTTCCCCAGATCCCTATCTGACTGGTGTTGCTATGGAAGAGACAATCATTGGTGTTCAGTCTCAAGGTGTTCAAGCCAGTGCTAAACATTTCCTCGCCTATGAACAAGAGACCCAACGAAATACTGCAGATATTTTCACTCCAACCTGGTATCCAAATGCCACCCAACAAATGTCTGTCTCTTCAAACGTTGAGGATAGGACTATTCATGAGTTGTACTTGTGGCCATTTTACAATGCCGTTCGCTCTGGTGTCGCAAATGTCATGTGCTCTTACAACAGAGTTAATTCATCCTACGCCTGTCAAAACTCTAAACTCTTGAATGGATTGCTCAAAACTGAGCTTGGTTTTCAAGGATTTGTTGTATCTGATTGGATGGGAACACATGCTGGTGTTGACTCTGCCAATGCTGGTTTGGATATGACCATGCCAGGAGCTCAAACTTGGAATGCAATGGCCCCTGGAGTAGCATCATACTTCGGTGGCAACCTTACTACTGCTGTGAATAACGGTTCCGTTACTCTTGACCGCCTTAACGATATGGCCCTTAGAGTTATGACTCCATACTTCTTCCTCGGACAGGATCAAGATTTCCCTCTTATCGATGGCTCTACCGGTACCTATCCAGTAATGAATGATTTCAATAACCCAGTTAATTTCGAATCAGACTGGGTTACTGCAATGGGTCCTGCCGATGTTGATGTTCGTGGAAATCACAGCTGGTTGGTTCGTGAACTCGGTGCTGCTGGAACTGTGCTTCTCAAGAATACCAACAATGCACTCCCTCTTAATGCTCCCAAACGTATTGGAGTTTTTGGAAATGCTGCCGGAGATTTAACAAATGGTCCTTATGCCCATGATAAAGACTATGAATACGGATGCCTACCAATGGGTGGTGGTTCTGGATCTGGAAGACTTTCTCAACTGATTTCTCCTCTGGAAGCTATCAAGGCTCGTGCTGTTAAGGATGGCTCAATGGTACAATATATCTTGAACAATACTCAATTAACCACCGCGGGAGGTTTCAAGAATATGATATACCCCATCCCAGACGTATGCTTAGTCTTCATTAAAACATACGCAAAGGAGGGTGATGACCGAACATCCTTATCATTTGATTGGGAAGGAGATTCAGTTGTTGAACAAGTTGCCGCAAACTGCAGCAACACAATCGTTGTCTCCCAATCCACCGGTATTAACCTCATGCCATGGGCTAATCACCCCAACGTTACCGCTATCCTCGCTACTCATCTCTCCGGTGATCAAATCGGAAATAGTTTAGTTGACATTCTCTACGGTGCCTATAATCCTTCCGGACATCTCCCATATACTATTGCCTACAATGTATCAGACTACTCATTTGCCCCCGTCACCACCAACGTATCCTCATCTTCACCAGATGCATGGCAATCTGATTTCACTGAACGTCTTCTCATCGATTATCGTTACTTTGATTATCATAACAAATCGGTTCTTTACGAATTCGGTTTCGGTCTAAGCTACACAACATTTAACCTCTCCTCATTAGCCATCTCTCCCATTTCCAACGCTACCCTCTCATCTACCCCGGCTGTCATGGAACCAAATTCTAGTATTCCTGGCGGAAACCCCGATCTCTGGACTCCAGTCTACACAGTCACTGCTTCAGTAACCAACACAGGAAACTTTTCCGGTGCAGCTGTTCCTCAACTTTATATCACGATTCCGGAAACAGAAGGAGAAACTCCAGTGAAACAATTGAGAGGATTCGAAAAGATTGGTTTGAATGCGGGTGAAAGTAAGAATGTTAGATTTGAGTTGATGAGGAGAGATATTAGTATTTGGGATGTGCAATTACAGGAGTGGAGGATTCCAGAGGGAGAGTTTGGTGTAAAGGTTGGTTTTTCGAGTAGGGATTTGAGAGTTGAGGGAACGTTTGAGGTTTGAGGTTGAGGTTGAGGGTTGGTGGTAAAGATGTTGAGTGTCAAATTCTTGGATGAGAAGATGAAGTAGGGAAAAGATATCTAGGGGTTTGATGAGTTATGTTTAATGATTTTTTTTATGGCCGGGTTGATGATTAAGAATTCGGTATTATTAGTTTCTGAAAAGAAATTTTTTGTATTTATAGATGATTTGTAGATTGGGGATAATGAAAGTTTAATGACTTTTTCATGTTTATATTTGCGTTTATGATTATGATTATGATTATTTGGGTATGATATCAGCTTATAAGACTTATATTTCTCTCTTTTACTAGTAAATCTGACTTCTCCTTTTATTTCATCCCTTAAATATCAGAAATCAAAAGAGGGAGAGGGAGAGGGAGAGGGAGAGGAAGTAAACACTAGAACTGTGTCCTCTATCACTGAGAATTTATATCCGAAAGCATGTTAATAATTAAAGAGGTAAGATTATAGAAATGAGGTCAGAATATCGTATTGTGGAATTTTGAATTATTCCCTAAAAGCCAAGAACCTAAATTAAACATATTTCTGTAGATTATGCACCGTTTTCCTAGCATTCGCCTTCTCTTCAAATTTTTTATCTCAATATCTCTGCAAAGCTCGAAGCTTCACTTGTTCGTGAATCGTTATGTGAGCCAAGGATCTTCGTGGCAGCTTTGGTTTTGCTCTCTTTCGTTTCAACACTATATGACTATTCCAGAAACCTATGTGGAAAAAGCAGAAGCAAAGCAAAATTCCATTCTCTTTTGGGGTTCACCATCGCAACCCCGTTACTCAATTGGCTTGCGCTAACAGTCACGGTTCTATGATTTGTGCACTGCTTGGAGTCCTCCGCACCAATCTGGCTTGGATTGTAGGGTTGGTAATGAAGTGCTATGGATAAAGTTTATGGAGGGGGAAATTGTGAAGCTTTATGGTGGGGTTTAGATGGTGCTTGATGATGTTGGTGTGAAAGTGTTTCTGGCGCGGGAAATATAAATGATGGGTACATATATTGCGTTCTAGCAGAGTAGCTCAGTGGTGAATCAAAAGTATTATTGCTGCGAGTTGTTGTGATAAGTGACGAGGTGGAGTGAAATGAGATGCAGTATTGGAAACATTGCTATGAAATTATGGTGTGAGAAAGAGAGATAGGATCTCGTTGTGGTAAATGATAATGGTTAAATGATTAATCCCGACCCTAACTAGATTCTGCTTTCCAACTCTTCTCTATCTTCCATGTTTAACATCGAGGCCTGCCAAATGTACCTTGCTCACTGCTGCTCTGTCCTCGGCTGCCTTTTTCCGGTCATCTACTGCCTTCAATCAACCGTCGGCTGCCCTTTTTTTTTGGCGCTTCACCCCAGCTACCAGTCACTGTTCTCTGCTTCATCCCTCTGAATTTCACTCACTCTTCAGTTCATCTCAAGGAGGATCCGAATAATTACAATGCCAACTTTGGTCATACCATTCAACGACTTCACAACTCAAAATTCATAATCACAAAACACACGAGTAAACCAACAACAGATTTTATCTTCGGCCCCAAAAGAATGCATTGTCCTTTCGTCATCTCACTAAAGATGGACGTCTCATTCTTCTTTCGTTGCCATTGTACCGTCGCCATCTCCAAACAAGAACGATTGGCAATTCAATTGCCTTGTTTACCTCAACATCTCTTCCCAACATCGCATTCAACAATTGCGCTGAATTGTTTCACGATGTAACTGTAAAAGATCTACAACTTCAATTGTGGTAACTATTCCAACATACATATCTGCCGCAACAACAATAATTGTGTTCTCCCTCATGAAATACTCCCTGGCATTCATTCATTCTAGCGTCGCGCTATTTCTCTCATGGGAGAATTAGTGCGCACTAATTCTCCCCGCTTATCCATTTCAGGGTAACTAATTCTCCCATGAGAGAATTAGTGCGCACTAATTTTCCCCACTTGTCCATCTTGAGGTAACTAATTCTCCCATCCACACTAATTCTCCCAGCTTGTCCACTTTTGGTGTACTAATTCTCACATGGGCATTTTAGTGCACACTAATTATCCCATCGCGCACTAATTCTCCCAGCTTATCCACTTTAGGCTTACTAATTCTCCCATGGGCATTTTAGTGCGCACTAATTTTCCCATCGCACACTAATTCTCCCAGCTTGCCCATTTCGAGGTGACTAATTCTCCCATGAGAGAATTAGTGCCACACCTATTCACTTTCAGTGTACTAATTCTCCCACAGCCAATTTCTATTCATTTGATTGGCTTTAGCATCGCACTAATTCTCCCACTGCACATTTTAGCGTCCGCTCATTCTTCGCCTTTATCATTAATGAACTGTTCTTTCATTATGTATTTTGTACCGATCGCTTATACCCCTATTGGCGATGTATTTCGATACTTTTGATGTGATTGATGTGATGTATGTATTCACGGTTATCGCAATGTATCGTAGGAAAAGTGTGAATTCCCAAATTTGGCAGAGTACCTAGCTGGAGATTCCAGATGTTTCGCAAGATACTTCCTTACCTTCTCCGTGTGTAGTTTTTGGAAGTGAAGACAATTTTTCTGAAAGTTTACTTGTGTAGATTGAGGAAGAAATGAGGCATCATAAAATGTGTTCATATAATCTTGACCAGATAGAACGAATTTTTCAATGAGGAAATATCCTTCTACTAGTTGTATACAGAAGCAGAAACTTTACTGCTAGTATATGACATGATAATACTTATGATTTAGAGTAACTTACCTGGAAATAAATCACCATTTCGGTGATAATACTTTTATGATAATAGGGAATGAAATAGATACGGAAGAAAAGAACTTTGCTATGCACAAGGGCACTGACAACCTCGACCTGGATGGATTTCTTCACTCGAAAAAGGAAACGCATCGCATATATAATCAGTACTCGGTGAGAATTTCTCTCAATGTTTGTATTGGACTTGATACCAAGGCTGTGAAGCACACAGACATATATTAAAGGACTTAAAAATGTTTTCTATCGCTTTCATATCTGGAATACTCCTTGTCATTCCAGACACATCTCAATTATGGCGATTTTTCTTGTACTTTTGCCATCATGTTATGAGGCATAGCCGCATAGGTATGCACTAACAGCGTAAGCCTAACTGTGCATCGGAGCTTAGTTGCGTAATGTTGATATCAACCTGATTTGATAGTATAGTAGTGCTCAGCATCATTCATAATATCGTCGTAATTATCAACCACGAATCTTACAACCAGGAGGGTTCAATAAGAGAGCTGTGAAACGACCTCACATACCCAAAACCACGCCGGTATCCCCTACTAGACAGAATTTCTAACGCTGAAAATGAAGATAAAAGAGCTTTCTTGTTTCCCATGGCACTAGCTGCAAGGAATTTAAAAAGAAAGAAATTGGTGGATTAACTTTCTAGCACTGCAAGATAATATCTTTATACAAATCATGATGCTGTGAAAGCGAAGAGTGTTTATTTTCGTAAGGAAAGAATTCTTTTTTACGCAGGTTTCCGTTACTTTGGGGAAAAGCAATGGCCATCAGACACCGACGACATATATTTAACAAACCAAAAACATTTCATCCGGTATAATCCTACGTATGTAAAATGTTTTGTCGATGCTATTGATGATAAAAACCGGACAAGGAAAAAAACCTGATTTCCGGCTTAGAAATTCGAGCCCCTGAAAGATAAACCATGAGTTTCCGGGCTACCGTAATTCATAATCTTACCAATCAACCTAAACCTCCTCAACTCCTCATTCCATCAATATTCGCAATTCCATGTCTTTATGACTTTTTATAACATCCTCTAACCCGAATATCAAATCGGAAAATCTGCAAGGGAGAGCTCGTTTGTAGCTTGTTGGAATACACAAACATTGACGAATATTGACGTAGTGTAACAAGCTGAGTCATCACGAAACCAGTCTCCTATCTAAAGGAACCTAGGTAACGCAAGAGATAAGAACCGACGAGATGGGAAGTGGAGTGATTAAGAAACGGACTGGGAATGGATTGATTGATGAACAAAGTTCTTTACTTGGGGATAGGAGATCAAGGGATCGTGTTGATGGAGATGATGATGATATATCGACGGGTCAAAGTGGGGGTGAGGATGATAGTAGCAATGATGATGATAGTGAGGATAAAGCAAATCAACAAGTTGGAAAATGGAGAGCTATATTGATAAGTATCAGTGTATTTGGTTTGATATTCTTGCAAGGTATGTTCTCAGGAGTTTAATACCTAGTATTGGAAATGAAGATCTGGATAGGATTTAGTTTTCTAATGAGAATTTTAATGTTAGCAACAAACATGTCCGGAATTTCAACCACACAATCCAAAATTGCTGAAGATCTTGATTCATTTACTGAAGCAAGTTGGTTTACATCTACTTATTTAGTAAGATATCCTTCCTCATCATCTGATCACATACTTACATTAAATCAGATAGCCATGTCATCCATATCACCAGTAGCAGCACGATTAGCTCAAATTTTCTCTCCTAGAAATCTCATCCTAACAGCAGCAATACTCTTCTCAATCGGAGGAACTGTCACATCACAAGCCCCGGATCTCAAAACTTTCCTCATGGGAAGAGCTATCAGTGGTATTGGAGGTGCGGGTATCATGACCATCAGTCTCATATTAATATTAGAACTCACCAGTAAAAAACGTCGAGGGATTTTCATCGGATTAGCTAATTCGGGATTTACACTGGGTGTCTCTCTAGGTGCTGTTGTTTGGGGAGCTTTATTACCAGTTGTTGGTTGGAGAGCTTTGTTTTTGTTTCAGTCACCTCTGGCTGTCCTTTCTGGAATTGGTATTTATTTGAGTATTCCTAAGAGTTTTACTTCTGGACAGAAGAGTGCACATGGGGAATCTATTACTTCTAAGCTTGCAAAAATTGACTATCTCGGATCTCTTTTTCTCGTAAGTAATACCTTACTACAAACTCCACTACAACTATGAGCATGAACTCTAACTAAATTCTCCAGATCACAACCATCATCCTCTTCCTTTACGGACTTTCCTCACCAAAAATTGAATGGCTACCTATTCTTTGTTCAATTCTTACCCTTATACTCTTCCTCTACATTGAGCTTAATATTGCCAGCGATCCAATTATACCAATCAGTGTATTGAAATCTCGTGGAGCTCTCCTCTCTTGTATTTCTCAACTAGGAATCATGTCTGCAAGATGGAGTATCCTATTCTACGCACCCGTCTACGCAATCTCTCTCCGCGGCTGGTCTCCTGCATCCGCAGGTTCAATTCTCATACCTACAAATGTGGGATTTGCTCTAGGTGGTATCATAGCTGGTGCATTCCATATCAAAAGAGCAGGAAGTTTCTGGCTGTACGTTTTACCCCATCCATTCCATCCATTCCATCATATATCCCACCCTCATTAAAAAAAGAAACCAACCATCAAATATCTAACAACCTCACAGACCCTGCATAACATCCCTAACCCTCTTCTCCACAACCCTAATCCTCTTCTCCCAGTTCTCCCTCCCCAGCACCCCCATCCCCATCTTCATCCTCCTCGCCCTCACAAACGGCCTCTGCATCGGCGCCGCCGTAAACTACACCCTCGCTCACCTTCTACACCTCACCCACCCCTCCACCCACTTCATCTCCACCTCTTTAATAACCACATTCCGCGGTTTCGCCGGCTCATTCGGTTCTGCCATTGGCGGCGGCGCTTTTATTCGTGTTTTGAAAACAGGACTCGAAGATGGGTTTAACAGAAATGGGGGTTTGGATGGAAGAGAAGAACTCGTGAGGAAATTATTAGGTAGTCCCGCGTTGGTGAGTACGCTAGGTGGAGTGGAGAGGGATGTGGCGATGAGTGCTTATGGGGATGGGTTTAGAGCTTTGTGGGGTGGGGCGGCGGTGGTGGCGTTTTTGATGGTGGGGGTGCAGGCTGCGGCGGGGTGGGAGGGGTATGGTAAGGGGAAGGAAGAGGAGGAGGGGTTGGGAGTGGGAAATGGATTGGGGGTTGGAAATGAGGTTTCCGAAGAGGGAATGGAGGAGGGTGTTTAGACTTTGCGGTTGTTTGATATCATTGATGTGATCTGTGTTGTTTTGCTGTGTAGGTTGGAGTAGAGTAGAGTTTAGATGGATTTGTCATGTAGAGATAAATTCTGCGATATACCATTTTATAAATAAATTTACGTTATATTACTCAGTTCAGTTCGGTTCAGTTCAATTTCGTCTATATTCCTATTTCCTATTCCTATTCCTGTCCAATTTGTGATTTCATTTCTTCGTTTCTTCATTTCCTCATTTCATATCCAGTTTCCGAGGTCATTATACGCGAGTATGTAAGAAGCATCATGTTTATACCTCTTTCTTAGAATCCACACCATGCTAGCAATCATAGAATTTTTCAAACTAAATCATCCTCACGTCCCAACACCACCTTCCCCTTCTCATTCTGCTTTTCCTTCCCACCATCCCCCATCTCCAAATCCACCTGTTTCTCCCCCTTACCACCATCCTTCCCCACCCTCCCGCTCCCCCCACTCCTCCCATCCACTCTCTCCCTCCACCCTTTTCCCCACCTAACCGCGGCCCAAGTCGCCAAACTACTCGCAACAAGAAACCCCGCACTAATCGTCGAAAACCAACCCACCCCCATCCTCTCCACAGCCGGCAAAACCGTCGCCGTCCCCACCGCTGCAAAAATATACCGAATCATATAATTCCCCGCAATAACCTCCGCACCACTTCTTTGCATCACATCCAAACAATACGTATTCAGACTGGGGAAACAGAAGAGTTGTGCCACGCCTTGGATGAACATCATGATGACGGGGAGAGGGATACCTCCGAAATCTTTTTCTACGGACCAGCCGTAAAGGAGCATGCAAGCTGGGATGACGATACCTAGGAAGGGAAGCGCGGATCGGAGTCGATCTTCTGGGATGCGTGTTCCTCGGATTTGCATGTATTTATTGGTTATGTGGTCTGAGTAGCGTCCGCCGAAGAAGGTTCCGACGATGTAGCCGAAACCTGGGGCGAGGTAGAAAAGTCCGGATTGGATGGGGGTGGTGAGGCTGAAGCGTGGGTTGAGGATGTAGCGGATCTGTGGAGGTTGTTAGTTTGTCTTCCCCTGTGTGTGATTACTTTAAGGGGATATAGGTGAAATAATATCTTGTCATATCACACCCTATCGTGTAGATGGATAGACAGATAGATAAATAGACAGATGAATAAATATAAGAAATAGAAAAACATACAGGAGTCAAAAGTGAATACATATTCCAAACCAAACTACTACTAGCCAACGCCACCATGATCAAATTCGGATACTTATAAAGTCTAACGACTCTCCACGGATTCAACATTCCCCACAATACACTAGCTTTCCTCTTCCAATTCATCCCCACCAATTCATCTTTCTTCATTCGATGAATGGTTTCTGGGAGTAGGAAGTACGCTCCGAGTACAGCACATGCCGCTAATGCAGTTTGAAGCCAGAAAATCACACGCCAGGATTGAAATGTTACGATTATACCACCGATGAAAGGACCAAGTGCAGGACCAATAAGTGTACCGGAAAGAAACCATCCCATGGCCGTTCCACGTTCCGTTGGGCGATAGATATCCCCAATACATGCAGCGCCAATGGTTAAGAAAGAAGTTCCTTGAAAGGCTGTCAAGATACGAAAGATAAAAAAGGCGAGGAGATTAGGAGCGAGAGCGGTGCCAATTGAGCATGCTGTAAAGAGAGCGGATGTGATGAGGGAAATCTAAAATGGTTTAGTATCTTCAAAAATGCATATGCTCAAGAACCAGATTTCGAAACTTACCCATTTCCTTCCATAAACCTGACTCAATGGTCCCCATACCAATGGACTAATCCCCATGAATAACATATACAGCGCATTACTTAAATTGATGATAGTACCGGTAGTTCCATAGGTAGAGGCCACCTCTGGCACTGCCGCCAATACGGTGGTACTACTAATGGGAGCCAGAAAACTACAAAAAGAAAGTAAAGCCACAATGACCATTTTGCGCTTGGGAGGAATGCGATCATATATAGAATCATGGATGAATATATTCGAGTGCGTTTGTTGAATTGGTGCATCTTGTGTATTGGAGATATGTGAGGCAATTGGAGCGAGATTCGAAGGTGGTAAGTGTGAGATGGAACTACCTGTACTGTGGATAGAGTAAGAGTCGGAATCTTCATGAGAAGTGATGGGTTCATCTTTTTGGCGAGGAGACATTTGTGTATGTGATGTCTGTGATGCGAGTCCATGTTCGCTCCTTGGCAAATCATGATGGTTTAGACTTGAAGCCATGACCTGAACTTGATGTTAAAGAAAGATGGAAGACTTTATAATCCAAATATACGACATCCGTAAAAAGCAAGTGAAAACTCCCTCGTGGATCATGAAAGGCAATTAATCTCTAGATTAATTTTCCAATCGATGTCATCAAAGAGTTTTCAATTGCCTCGATATTCAAATCTGCAATTGATATAGAAAAATAGAACAAAAAGAAAGAGTCAATATATGAAAACAATAGAGAAATAGAAACAGAAAAGAGAAGGAAAAACTAACTACTGACTCATCTTCATCCCACGAACGATAAGCAAAGCTACTAAACAATCATATCCTATTCTAGACTGCCTAGTACATAGATAGTACATACGTACCTAGCAGTTACTATCATCGGCCGAGAATCGGCACTGCAAATGCACCTTTTACATATTCCCACGCATATCCATATCTATATCCGTACCCATCCACATCCACATGCAAATCCACATCCGTACGAGTACCGGTATTTATCACCAAGGAAGCAAGCAAGCAAGTAGATACCGTACTCCTTAGACCAACCTACCAATAAGACCCCGCAGGTACCCCCAGCACCAACTCATCTATTGCCATATATATCTGATCAAAATCATCACTACCCGTCCACCCATCCCATCTCATCCCATCAATCTATATATCTACGGAGTAATATCCGCATATATACCCGATCACGAAGATACACACAAATAAATAAATAAATAAACCAAGCACACAAACAAACCATATAGTCGCGTGCTTACCTAGGTAGATAGCAAAAGCCTTCACACATCACACATCACGACAAACCCCACAAGGACCCAAGCCAAAAAAAAGCTTAACAAAAGCTAAGTTTCTAACCCCATCCATCCACACACCCACACATAACAACTAAGTTCTGACAAATCCCCAGTAAATCGACCAATCATCTGCCTGCCGAAAGGAAAAAGAAAAAGTGGGTCTGCTGATTTTTCCGGATCAATTCTTCCTTGTGCGTGCGTGCGTCTTTTCCGTGCACTAGGTGCTATTTATTACCTGCTCTGTTTAGCCTCTACTTTCTACATTCTCTATACTTCACCCTCTGGCTATCTCTTATATATGCTAGGTACTTCATACATGCTCTATACTCTATAACCATTGATTACCTACCTACCTATTTGTACATGTATAGCAAGCACCTAGCAAGTACCTAGTATATACACCACACCACACCATAAAAATCAGAAACTCGACATTCAATATTCAATATTCAATAAGAAAATCAATACCTATTTAAACATCACATTATACTCGAGTAAATATTTCTCAATCTCAACACTTTTGAATAATGAATGATGAATGATAAACATCACATACATCACATCACATATAAAAATGGTGAACTAATTACCCAAGTACATACATGCCTACCTATCTCACCCAAAAAAGTCCAAATCCAAATCCAAGTCTCTCAACAAATAAATATATATAGTCTTATTACAATACTACCATCCTACTACATACATCACATCACATCACATCCATACCATACCATGTGACCAGAACCAAGCTAGATAGATACGATACATCTATCCAGGCCGCCAAGAAAGATCTTCATGAAGGTTTGATGATTGAGGATTAATATAAGATTAACTACCTAACATGTGATAATGATACTATAGTACCACCTCATATCACATCACATCACATGAACATCAACATCACGATCTATTCAGGAGACTCAAGCTAGGTATGTATGCTCTTAATGAAACGATACCTATATATATATATTCCCAAAGAAATCCGAGTGTCTGATGTCAAAAATATAATATCAATTAACACCTCAAATATGTATATATCAATATCAATATAAATATATAAAATACTATACTATACTATAACAACTCAGTGCATGAATGAATCCACCCATCCATCCATCCATCAAACCATCAATACAACGCAAAACAACACAAAAGACCTCTCCATCCCTCCCTTCCATCCCCTTCCTTCCCTCCATCACCCCCTTCCAATCCCATCCACGTGCCCCATGATAAGAATAAACAAGAACATACAACATAACCCGAGAACGCTCACCCATCAATCAATCAATCAATCAATCAATCAATCAATCAATCAATCAATCAATCAATCGCACTCAACACAACGTAACACAAACGTAACGTCAACGTAAAAAAACGCAACCGTATATTTGTAAATGCAATGACATGATATAACCGCCCACAAATAGTGCCGACGCTGAAGCCAAAGATCAAAGACCAAAGCCAAAAGCCAATGCCAAATGTCAAATATCAAATATCAATCCCATACACATGATATATGACATGACTAACTTCCCAATCCAATCCTTAGAAAAAAAAACACAATGAACAAAAAAATATATTCCGATGAAGATGATGGGGTATGATGAGGTATATGAGGGATATTAGAGAGGCAGGTGATATAATATAGATGATAGATGTATAAGACGTATGTAAGTGATGAGTATGCGAGGATATATCAATGCATTCTTTCAAAAGAACGACATAGTATATAATATTGTATATGCATTCGCCTTTCCCCGATTCTTCCAATTCGATAAAAAAATCAAGTTGAAGCATTCGAGAGATTCGAGGTTGAGTTCTCATGCTTCAACTTTGACTTTTTCTTACGTAAACTTTTCGGAAGCTATACCAAGAGAGAGAAAATTAGTAGTTAACACTCGAGGTAAATATTGAATGCTAAATCAAAATACGATTCCAATCTCAGCAGTAGATTTACCACCTCTCTCTCAAAGGTGCGAAAAGTTAACTCGAGAAGGGACTAGAAAAACTAGTAAAACCTGCCGAGAAAGTAGTAACGTGACGTGCCTGATAGTCTCTCTCCAGGAGACCTGTGTATTTTCCTGCATTAACCAAAATTTTCATATCGGTATAAAGGGCCGAGGATCGCGTTGCGACGATTCCAAGGAAACTGAGAGTTCTCTTGAGAAGGTCACTGAGTCCTTCCTTATCAAGTATATCCTTAAATAATGGTCGAAGAATGTTATCGTTCCATGCTGCTTGGAGAGTGAGAACATTACCCCATTGCCTAATTTGTCATGTCAACAGATATTTTCATCCAATATACTGAAGTTTAAACTTACGCATGTGCAGTTCCCCAAGGATTTGTAACAAAAAGTCTACCATCTCCTAAACCATGAAATGCTCTAGTACTATTAACAAGTGCCTGAAGACCATTTCTTGCATAGTCTAGAGCTGTCTTATCAATTTCATCTGCTGATGTAGCATGTTTATTGATGCTTGGAACCTCGATACCATTTCGGAAATCATCAACACCGCGTTCTACCGTATTTGAGGATGATACCGCATGTGAATGTTCCAAAATCTTCAAGACGAAATTCCTATATGTGATAACTTGCGCACCATAATACTTGGCTCTCATTCGTGCTGTGAGGATATCTGTCGCAGGAGGGTCATTTTCATGCCAAGCAATTGTTCCTCCGGCTTCTTTCCACCGGAATAAAAAGTCCTCGGCCGTAGCTATCGATTCATAATGATTGGGATCTTGACGTTTATAAACAGAAGGAAATTGGGAGTCTTCCGTAGAAGGTTAGTCGCTTTTCTCAGATAAAAAGAATATTAAAGAACATACCATTATCAGGTTTGTAAAACATATTGTGTAATTGATTAAGATGTTTGCGAAGATAGAGTTGACCTTGATAACTTAACAAAACCTTTTCATCAAAACCTTCTTTCACGGCTTCGACAATATTTGGACTTGGCATGTTTTCTTCGTACGTTAAAATACCAGAGTGTGGACAGGGTAACTCTGCTACGATATCACTAACTAATGTTAGAATGTAAATTTATCAATCAGATGAAATAAATATACCTTTCGAGCTGTAAGCATGTCCAAAATGCGAAAATCAATGGATTGTCTTTCGCCAATACGGGAAATCCATCTTGCTTCAACTTTTTGAAACGATCCAGTTTCCTACCATTCATGTTAGTGGTATTCAAATCGGGAATTGAATATGACTTACGGTCTCAAAATAACCTGTAAAGCTCTACAAGCTTGATGAATGTATGAATGACTTTCCAAAACCCTTCCAAGTTGTCCGTGATAAAGACCGGCTAAAATATTCACATGAACATGCTGTAGACTATTTCCTCCAAGTTGATTTCCAATAATATCCGTAGCAAGTGCGAAATATGCCAAACCCGGAATGACATCCACATTCCTAGGTCTAAAGCCACTTCTTGCTAAATATGAATCACCTTCTATCGAAGTTCTTCGGCTGCGAGGATAAAATCGATCAATATTGTCCTTGGGTGATGGTAGTTCTGAAGATTGTGTTGGAGAACTTTGAATGGGGGATGGATGACCATTTCGTACAACTGGGGAATTGATGTGGCCCCAAGGATTTTCGATATCTTTGTCGGAAGGAAGTTCGGGAATTTTCCCTCTCTCTTGACAAATCTTTCCTAAGGCTAATACCACCAAGACTAAAGCTGTGCTAATCGAACGACTTGGATGACCTGGCTTGACAAACCCGTAACCACCGACAACTGAGATTTCTGGTGGTTCTCCAACTCCCGGCGATCTTTTTCGCTTGCTTCCTGGACTCTCTGGTGGTTTCATACTTACAAAACCTGCATGTTGTGATGCCAAAGTCTGAACTTGTTTTGGTTTCGCGGAATCCGATGGAATAGATTTGAGAAATGACTCAACCAGAGCATCCAGTCGCCTCGGTATCAATATCGGATGCATGATATTTATATGTTCCTTGTAGCTTTTGACCAAGTCCAAAACTACACTTTTTCGAAAATCTGGCATACCATCTGACATGATACTGCCAACGACTGGTGGAGGATAATCTGGCGCACTAGATGGTGGAGTCATACCACCTAATTGACCCCATTCTTCACCTGCTGGGGAGGAGATATCAGAACTCGTATCGACTATAGAATCGGCATGGTCTGTCATAGGATCTCGGTCGTAACCTTGAGCTAAGTCAGTTCCTTCCCCCCTTCCAAATAATCTTAACAATCCACGTCGCTCTTCTTGCAGCATGGGATATTTCTCGTCTTTCACATTCTTTGGTAAACCACCCCCACCCTCAACCATCTGTTTTACAGAAGGAACCAGTAAAAGCCTAGCAGCGCCTGTCGTATGATTGACTGGTATTAAAGGTTGTCCTGGAGGTACAGGTTCGCCTTCCTCTTCCTCTTCAATTGCACCAGGAGTGGACCCTTCAAGTGGTTGTACAGGAACTACGGTAGTTGGCGTTTCTATTGGCGTGGCATTATGAAGAGTATTCATATCCGAGTCATGAAATGATCTAAAATTATCAGGTAATTGAACATCGTCTCTCCCTTCCACTTTCATGAGCTCAATGCTCGATAAAGGTCGACCAGCGCCCACTCTCTCCTGTAAATCGTTCACTCGTTTGTTCAATAACTCCAAACCTGTCTTCAAGACAGTGAATAGTTCCGTGTTACGATTTTCCAGCCGCAATAAGGCCTCGATGATGTCCGTGGAAGCCTTGTCGATTCTAAAATAGTCAGCAGCATATCATCCCAATTCTTTTCTCAAGACCTACGGTTTCGGTGGTGGATCTCGATAACGGCATTCAAAGTTCTTCTCTTTACAACTTCCACAAGCCGGTCGCCCTTCATCACATTTCGCCTTTAAATTGCGACAGCTATCGCATGCCTGAGCGGCGCGTTGCGCTTTCCGAGGTTTCGCAGGTTGAGTATAAGGCGTCACTGAATATTGCTCTCGGGATGGATGGGCATGGTTTTGTGGTGGACCATACATTGACATGGACCCGTCAAACGTTGGTGTAGTCATCGGGCTTGTGGAGGGAGGCGGGGGTTGGGGTTGATACATGGGAGGAGCGGGGTTATTATTATACATCTGCGGCGTGTGTTGAGCGTGCTGCGGAGGTGGAGGTTGATGTTGATCGAATCTCGGGGGGAAAGACCTTCCTCTCTCTTCAGGGTAGGGTGGATTCACATGATGGTCTGTACCATTTGTTGTAGGTAGTGGTCTATGTTGTGGAGGTTCTTCCGAAGGATCTGGTTTCACGACGGGCTCTCGAGAACCATTGTGACCGTTATGCCCATTGTATTGAGGGATAGGAGGAGGTTGGTGCGTATTATGTATGTGGTAGACATGCGAATGTCCTGAATTGGGGCGATGAGGGTCTTGATGTTCCTGGAAGTTAGGGTGGGGAGCTCGTCTATCGAGGGGGTGGGCGTGAGACTCGGGACGAGAGAATGGACTGCTATTATACGGAGGTTGTAAGGGAGGAAGGGCCCTTGAAGGGTTGGGTTGATTGGGCTGTTCGATCGGCCAAGCAGGACCAGGTCCTAACCTTGGTCGCTTTGGATCTGGTTGACCATTGTCCATCATTGCGATTTCATACAAAAGTTAAGTGGCCACAACAGCTAGGGCCATGGACTGCGGTCGAGCGCGGCGGCTTCTTACAGGTTCGAGGAGAACACAGAGGCGTAATAGAGCTCAGTGGAGAATCATCTGCGCAGGTATGTATTACGGACTGACGTGTAGGTAATCATGTGTGTGATGTAACAGAATGCCGCGCAACTGAATTATGAAGGTAATAAGATGGTATCGTAAAGTCTGCTGGAACAAGGTTTTCCAAGATCAGCCATATTGCTTCCCGAGGGTAAAGTAGTAAAGTAGTGGTAAGCTATCAAAAAGCGACCCGGGTACCAAGTAAGTGGTCCACCAGGTCCATCGAATATAGTTTGCGCGGGAGTGAGGCGCAATGGTATGGTAGAAGCGATGTCCAAGGGAAATTTTAGAACATTACCTTTTCGAAATTTGATTAACCCTTTCAAGTAGAGTGAAGGATCTGCAATGATATTTTTTGGGTCACTTTCCAAGTTGATTTGGAAATATTTATGAAGACCTTGATCGGAGGGGGTTTAGATTGGGAAGAAAATGTATAAATAGGTAATAATAATAATAATAATATCTGGGGAATATTTTTTTTTTTTTTTTTTTGGCTTGGGTAGGTTGTAATAAATTGTAATCTGTGATAGCTGAGACGGAAGCTGGGATTCAAGGTATGTATGTATGTATGTAGGTATGTATGTATCTCGTTTCTCGCTTCTCGTTCCTCTCAACTTTTCCTCTTTCTCTTGCGACGAAGGTGGGATGATAATATCTTTGGGTTTTTGGGTTTTGAGTTTGGATTTTTGATTTTTGAATCTGATTTTGGACTTAGTTTGGCCTTTAGTTTTGGCTTTAGTTTTGGTTCTAAAAGCGGGAGTAGGCACGGTACATCGAGTAGTGTGTGGATAGTGCCCGAGTAGTGAGTACCTAATGAGATGAGTAAAGCAAGGCAAGGTAAAAAAAAATAAAAAAATAGTGTGAACCTGTCAAAAATGGTAAAAATAGTCGAAATTTAGTTCTGTTAAACTTGGGACTGGGTTTTTTGGTGGATTTTTTGGCGTTGCATAGTATGTATTTCCAGGATCTCTTGAGCGTTTCCTTTTCTGGTGCTATTGGTGTTATTGGTGTTTATTGGTGTTATTGGTGCTGGTGCTATATTGATTGATTGATTTGTTAGAAATGGAAAGGAGAAGAGAATAGTCAAAATCAAAATCAAAACAACTGATTGATTACTTATCAAGCTGAAACCAAAATAAAAGTAAAAAATAAATACAGCATAGTACAATGCAATCAATACAGTAAAATACTAGACGGTAATGGAAGAGGAAATAAGAGAGATTGATTTGGAAAAGAGAATGTGCAGCAGTGATTCAGAACCAGTCGTTTAATGACCGAGGTGTATGTTGCGTGGTGCGTGGTATGTGTGGTATGTGTGGTGTGTGAGGTTTTGTGCAGAAAAAAAAAGGTGGAAAGGTGGGTGGATAGAGGGATGGATGGATGAATGGATAGATGCTTGCTTGCTTGCTTGTCCTTGAATTGTGGATGGATATCGTAAAGATGGAAATCGGATAGTAGAATAGAAGGCTTAATACTAGAAATTTTTCGGGGTTTAGAAGGTTCCTCAGTCCTCATCAACCTTGAACCCTTCATAATATTCATAACCCCAAGCAAAGGAAAGAAAAATAATTATAAAAAAAAAATCCACTTCAAACTGATTTTTTCCCCTTCATCCTCTTTCATCTCCTTTTCAATTTTCAAGCACTAATAAAAAACCATCTCCTCTAACCTAAAATTTTATGCCAGCTTGCGTTGAAATTCTTGGATTGCCGGTAGCTTCATCCTTTCAATCTTCCGAAACGTTGAAAAGAAAACGCTTCGATAATTGAATATGACACTACGGGAAATACAATAATGACAAGGCAAACTTCGCAAAACTTTTGAAACTTTTGGTCAAAGTCGATGGATAGGGATACGATAAGGATGGAGGTGATAGGTGAAGATTAAGGTAAAGAGAAGGATCATGCAAGTAGGCATCCAAAAATTGACGTACCAACCCGTGTCTTCGTGACCTAGAATGTATGGAAGAGTATGGACCCTGTGTTACTTGATATGGCGCCGTCGAAAGCCGTTGAAGATGAAGAAGATGCGATCGAGCGAGGTGGATGGCTCGTTATGCTGGTATGCGGTATGCGGTATGCTATTATGCTTGTTGTTGAATGTTGGTTGACTGTCGTAAACCCTCCCAAGATCTGCACTGTTTGGTTCGTCTCTCCGCAGCGTAAAGTCTTGTCGGTATGGATTTATCTTTCTTTCGGCGCGGCGCACTTTCGCGATTCAACCTTCAAGTTGTTCAATGTCGGTGCTGTGCTCACTAATCTGTGTTCATGAGAGCTTTCGTGCCCAGTTACCCGGTGCCAAACCACCCGAGAACAGGCGATATAATACTTTTTTGTGGATAACTAAGGTGATTTTGAAAGTTGGGAAGTTTAGATTGACAAGGGGGGCAGGTATAGTATAATGTAAGGTGGGATAATAGTAATAATAGTTTGTGAAATGCGAGAATGCTTGATGAGTTGAAACTAGGATGAATGTAATACCCAAGTCGGCTGGAGCTTTGAAATGGGGGTGAATGAGGCGTGGGAAGAAGGATAAGGATGGAAAACTTTTGGAAAAGGTGTGTGAAGGCGAGATAGATGCTGGACTGTGTGTTGGTTAGGTTTATTCTATAAAAGGTGGTACGTAGGTAGTAGGTAGGCTGGATGAAAATAATAACCTCCCTCATGCTATTGGGAAATACTATCGTGAAGGGCTGATTTATCCAATTCTTGATATCTACAATCAACTTCACATTTGCTGTAGCTCAGCCATCTACTTTCATCCACCTTTGCATCCCACTACTGCTGGTAACAAATAATGCTACCCTTACCAAGAGGTAGACCTTACCCATAAAGGCAACGATTTATTTTATTTTGTTGAGTTGGACTGTATACGATATTTCTATGACTGATGAAGGGGTTAATGAGGGAACTTGGAAGTGATAGATGAAAAGGTCTAGCCATTGAATGTCATCCAAGTGGGACAAGCCAGTAAAGTATTCATTTCGCTATGTAAAATTCGAGTACAAGATTTGATGAAGAAAGTAAAAACATGTCACCGCCGATGAGAAAGAAATACAAGCCGCATGTGTGTGTATGTGTGTGAGTACTCTGTACGGAGTAATGTATTTTGTGCCGATGTCAAAGTATCTAGGTACCGATGTAATAATAAGCAGCACATGGCATCCATCTCAACTTTACTTGCAAAACTTCGACTTCCCGCACAACAAACTTCAACCAAAGCTTTCCTAGCTCCCTCCCTTCCCTCTTCCTTTATCCAATCACCGCCCCAACCACCACATCACTTCTCACGATTATATCCGGATCTGCGTATTCCGTACACACGTCGCATCCCAAGAATGCGAACCAGTAAGCAGAGCCGGGATGTAGCACCGTCTTCTGAAAACCAACCAATGATAAATGTGGAGGGATTGATAGTCTCGTCTGGCCCTATCCGTAGTAACAAGGACATCCAATGCATTTTAGCAATTTTATTAGCCAGTGCAGAAACAGTCAAACAATTATTTTTTATTATTTTCCTCATAACAATCCCATTAATACCTATACCCATTATTTCAAACCTTGGAAAAATAACCCCGACTAGGAAGGAAGGATGCGGAGGCGTCAGTCACCTTCATGTGGATTCCCTCCGTACTTGCCAAGCTGAAGGCTTGTCAGCCTCGAATGTCGTATGACCTGCTCCTTACACATGCGAACCAAGCATTCTAATAGACTCGAGTATGTATGTATGGTAGTACGTTTGTGATAACAATTGAATGTTTCTACTGTAGAGTCTATACATATCCATCGAGGAAGGAATACAGATTCATTCATACATACATACTCCATCTCCATCTCCATATCTCCATGCATACGGCGTACATACATCCATCCATCCCCCCAGCATACAAAATCACAAACATGAAGCCATTCCCTTCACCCCCCTCATTGAAATCATTCCCATGAATCCCATCCTATTCATTAATAATAATGCCCATTCCCAAGAATTCCAGCAAAACTCATGATGAACAGCAGGCCTCCTGGTCAAGGTACATACCGACACCTCGGACATGGGAGACACCAGCTCCAGCGCCCATTCTTCTGTGCACCATAATCCTGCATCAAAAGAATCCTTCGCCTCGCTCAACCCATGGAGATTAATCGGTAATGTCTGTCTGTCTGTCTCCCCTTAAACCGAATAATCTCAAATTGTCCATCCCCTCTATAATAATGTAAAAAAAATAATGTGGATATCGAACCCATTATTTCATTTTCTGGAAGGATTCTTTTCTTTTCTTTTCTTCTTCTTCTTTCCTTTTCCTTTTCAAACTTACCCTACACTCCCTTGCCCAGCTGCTTCGGCTCGGACTTTGGATACTTTCTGGAATTGTCAAAGCGTGTTAATAAATATGATGGATGGACTCCGTAATCATAATATACAATAATATAATAATGATGCCCAGGACGATGATCTATCAAAAAAAAAATCAAAACTGCCAATCACGCAATGCTTTTGCCTCTTTTTGCCTCAAATCCGATACTAATGATTTCATATGTCTCTCCATCATGTTTTCATTGTGCAGTAGTAAATAGTAAATATACTATCTATAATTCCTTACCAACGCCTTGAAGGATTCATATCGCACTATCTAGCTAGCTCTGTGTCACAACCCAATATCAATCATGAATCACCACAAGACAATCATGAGATTCTACAAAGATCCCAAACCTCCCAGTAGATAGACATTGGACAATAAGATCAGCATGGAGAACTGCGGGGACCATAATACATGATCCAACGGCCCTCGGATAAAGCCTTCCTCCCAAGTCCCCCAACCTATCCTCCCCCAATCACAGTGTTGTTCCTGAAAGCAAGATTGACAAGTACTGGCACGGGTATCGATATACGCGCATGTTACAAGTTACAACTTTATTCCACACAACCTTACTAGATAGACAGTGACAACTTACAAGTTACAACATACTTACAAGAACAAGCAAAAGGAATGAAGTTCGGCGGAACGGGCGCGAGGCAAGGAAAGGAACGAGAAGCTCGCTCTAGCTCTAGCTTTAGCTCTACTCCGTAGCTTTCCTTCTAGCTTCCATCTAACAAAAACCCAAACCAAGAAACTTATTTACTCCAGAAGTGGAGAGATAGCTCGGCTATTGAACAACTCGAGTCAAGTTTTTACAAAAATTTTCACCAGCGCCATTCAATCCATGATATTATCCAGAAAAACGAAATGTAGTCTGGTAAGTTGTAACCAGTCTTTTGTAAGATGGCCATAACACACACACACAGTAAAAGTAGCACCAAAAGATTTATTCGCCATCGAGTGTCTCAAATCTCGAGGGAAAAGGAATCTTCTACTGCGTAATTTGTAGAAGATTCATACCATTCAAACACTAGAAGGAAAGAAATGTCGGAAAAGCCCGAGGATTTCTCCAATCAAAATTCACAAACGACTTAAATGCAAGGTAAGAATTACCAAGTATTCGGGCAAAACCTGTAAACCATGTGGAAACGGCATTGCCGGCGTTGAAAAGTATCTACCTACCTACCTACATGTACTCACCGCAACGAAAACGACGCGATATAATGATCATGAATCGTGACGGGAACTTGGGTTCGGGAGTTTTCAAGGTATCTACTCATGCGAGTGGCTTTAAGATCTAAAGTAGATGTACTAGATAGAGGTACTAGAAGTATGTCGTCGGCGATCAACTTCACGAAAAGAAGGCTGAAGAGATCATCAATAATAAGAGGCATCCCTTGCAGATTGCAGACCAATAAAAAGTTTGGTATCCGATGCGATGGCTCCATAGATTGATGCCCGAAAAATACGCGGCAAACAAGGATACATCGAAATAAACTTTCCCTCCTGTCAAAAACCGGCAAGATCTGTCCTCGCTTCGTAGGATAACGTATTAAAACATAGCTTACATAGCTTGCATAGCATCATTGCATAGTACATAGTATGAGATACTTTTGAGACTACGGGGACGAGGCAAAAATGATGCGACTGGATGCGGATCATCTGACGTTCCTGGGCTTTCAAACGGGACTGGTAACCTCACCGCTTCTTCCGAGCTAAAAGATCAGATACGCTGATAAAAATACGATTGATCATTAAGGAGGCTGAGGCTAAGTGTTAGGAACTTAAGATGGCTCCGAAAGAAAAATGACAAGACGGCTAAAGGTTAATTTGAAAAGAGGTCCATGTAATGTGATTTGTGTTCTGATTTGTTGATGTTGGTTACATGTTTGGTTAGACAATGTTCAATGTACCGAGTAGTTCATGTTGCTCATGGTTGCAGATGGTTGGTGACTTGCTTCCAGAACCGGTACTCGCTTTTCCATGGCAGACGATAAATCTTCCGATGTGACCAATGGAAGCTTTCGGAGGTTAATACGCAATATGCACAAATCTCCTTCTTACTCGTTGATTGCTTTTACCATACATGCCACGATTGTAGAAATCTCAAAAGCCAATAATCTCAAGCTAGATCTGCGATTGTTTCACAGAAACGAATCTTCGATACATACCGGTATAACCTTACATTTAGACAAACTGTTGGTTGATGCTATCGCATGTAGGTAACCAGTGATATCCGAAAAACATCCGAAATATGCCTCCGTACTCCGTAATGTAATAGACGCAAAATTGCTCGGATAATGTACCGAATATACATATGATATTTTGATAGATAAGAAACTGATGAACCTTCAACCCCTCCAAAACAAGAAGTCAACATCCGCACGTGCCGTTGCGAAAATACAGTAATCATTCATGAAACGATAAATGTTAAGGCCAAGGTTAACCAGGTCCACCTTGTACTTTGTACTCCGTACGGACCCTTTTCCACGTGTCAGCGGCGCCCTTCATCTGCTTGGCCCTGCTCATCTTGTTCACCTAATCTTCCATTCACAGCTTGATAGCGTGGGTGTGCTTTCTATCGGTAACCGAGCTAATTTTCTAGGATCAATGATATTCATTTATCCTGAGGGATAGTTATCCTTAGCTATCCTATGTTATCAGAGTAAGCGCAAATGTCGGTGTAACACAGAGCATGCGAGCTTACTCAGATGTGTCAAATGAGAACGTGAGGGCCAAATTTGATATTTGATCATGTCGCGCAAATTTGATTCGGTGTACCATCAGCTTTGAACGTTCCAATGAATCGGGAAGGGACGGCGAAACATCATCTCCATTGGGTGCCGAAGATACCGATATACATGTATATTCGGCTGGTTCACTACCTCGATTAAATGAAAGATTGATAACGCCACCGCCCTTGCCTGTCTCAATCTTACTCGTATATCTCCTTGATCGTCTATTGGGGCTGCGTGATAACGAGCTCGTTCTCTGTTGTAGTATCCTGACTGGTCAAGTTACTCTTTGAATCCTTGACGTGTTGATGGCGTTTCGGAATAGCTCGTCTAATCCCGATGTAACCGTAACCTCTACTCGGCCCAAATCATGGTCTAACGCAATGGTCGTGGCTGTCTTAAAACCTACGTATGTCCTATTTCAACCTGTTCCATTGACATGATCGTCATGGATGCGTCTTCTTTTGGTGTGTCTGCTGGCCTCAACGCTGCTTCTTCGAGTACGTCGACGGCGCCCAGGAATATTGATCTTGGATTCTTCCCCTTCAGTAAATGTTAAGTCGCCCGTTTCCCCGAGGATTTCCCGGGATGCTTCTTCCATCAAAATACCCAGTCCTATCAATGCCGTCTCGTCCATACTGCGCCAATCTATAGAGCCCCCTTCTGCAGTTGCACGAAAATAGAAATCTGAAGCATAGGTGTGAAGTGACTTTAATAGATCGGAGTCGGGCAATCCCTTCGGTGAGTCTCGTTCATTTGCAAAGTAGATGTCCGATTCGGCATATCTGGTTGGTGCATTCTTGCTCCGAAACAATACAGCTTCGGGAGGCACAGCACTTAAAGAGGATGATGTAGTATCCCGATTTGTAGAAACAATCACACTCCTTGGAATGAAACCTGCTGCGGAAATCCGACCTGAGCAACATATCAGTAACGTAACTTTTTTATCTCCCTATGGATGTTGTGCATGTGGATGTTACCTGCAACAGCGTCGTAAACGGAAGGTTTTCTTGATCGTGAAACCTTGTCTCCCTCTATTGATTTTTCTTCAATATCTGGGTTGATAAATGTGTTTTGTGAAAATGCTTTCGATGTCATGGTCTCCGTCAATCTTCAAAGATTGTTGTCTGGAATGTAAAAGAAAATAACAATCGTGAAAGTTGAGTCTGGCTAGAGCGTTCGAGAAATTTAGCTTAAGTGTGACAATGACCAACAACCCCGCGTAATCGATAACTGTACCGTTGTGTCGCGGTTCTTTCAGGCTTCACTCCAGAACAAGCATCACTTCCTATTGATCTACTAGCATTGAAGTAAATCATCGCCACTTACCTGGTACTTGTTTGATTTCTTCCTACATATACGCGACATCAAATGTATGAATCAATTGATCTATGATCGATCAACGGGCAACCTTGGCCCAAATGCCTTTGCGCGCATCCAAACCAGTCGATTAATTCATGCGATTTCACCAGCTTCGAAGCTACAATTCAATGGTGGCGAAGAATCTCCAACTGTAGCCACAGATGCAGAAGCTCGAGAATATGAGGCAGTGAAGTTATGGGCGCACCAAACTGGAGTGAACGCACTATCGATAGATAGATTCGAAGGAAAGATGTAAGAGTGAAATGAATGTTTGAAATCGTTAAAAGACTGGACTAACAAGAGGATATATAGTCTTCTTTCTGGGGGAGCAGATGCATCGATCAAAATTTGGGATCTTGATCAAATCCCCACCGGGGCTTCAGAATATACATTCCGACCAACCGGAATAGTCCCTAGGTATTTCACAGATTTCTATCATTGTGTCAAACAGTTTGAAAGCATCCACTAACTCGGGTCTGTAGAAATGCTTCCGCGCACAAGTATGGCATTACACATCTTAGTTTCTATACTTTCGATTCTGCCGCTTTTCTCTCTTCATCATACGATCATCATCTCAAACTATACTCCACAGAGTCTCTCCAGGTCTCTGCAGACTTCGATTTAAACTCTATCGTCTATTCGCATGCCGTATCTCCCATTGCACAACATCTTTTGGTGGCTTGCGCGACTCAACACCCAGCTGTCAGACTCGTTGATCTTCGGTCAGGCGCAAGTACACATTCATTAGCCGGGCATCATAGGGCTATACTTTCTGTCGCTTGGCATCCGAATATTGATCATATATTAGCTAGTGGGTGTGTCGATGGTACCGTTCGTCTTTGGGATATACGTAAGAGTTCCGGAGCAGTGGGCTTGCTGGACTTGGAAGATGCAATTGGGGTTACGATTACACATGGCATGGCAGGTGGTCGATCAAGAGTTTCAGCTAAAGCACATTCAGGCGCTGTTAATGGTCTAACCTGGACGGATAATGGAAATTATATCATATCTGCAGCGCATGATGAAAGAATTCGTGTCTGGGATGCAGCTACGGGTGGAAATACCCTTGCAAGCTTCGGGCCAACAATAAAGAATGGACATCTTTCAAGTCTACCTCTAGTAGTATCACCTACGGCATTAACGCCTCCCATGAAAGAACTCCTATTCTTCCCCAATGAAAAAGAAATTCTCGTTTTCGAACTCCACGAAGGCCGCCTTCTCAAACGGTTGAAAGTTCCTGGTCCCACTGTAGCAGCAGTGCGATCTCGAACTGGTGAAAGAAATATCAGAAATCGTATTACAGCATTGGCTTGGAGAGAACCAGTCGATGGTATATACTCCGCTCATTCTGATGGACTGATTAGAGCTTGGATACCTAGAACTGAAGAAGATGTAGAGTTAGATCGTGAGGAAGAGGAGGAAGGTGAAACTCGGCATGAGAATGAAGGGGGCAAGAGGAAGAGGAATGTTCTGGATGATGTTTTTAGAGATTTGACGAGACAGAAAATAAGTTTTGGTTAAGGGTCTGAATAATTTAAACCTTTCTAAACAGATATGTTCGCCAGGAACATTAATATCCAAATTATTTTCCTAGACCAAAAATTAGAATGTAACATAGTATAATAGAAATTCATATATGGAGTATATCAGTGTACCTTCCGCCTTCCATAAAAAACTTGTATCGTAGTTTACACTCCTTAGATATGGATATGTACCGTATAGAATATGTAGCCGTGGGCTTAACATGATCAACGTACCTAGTATGTGAGAGTTTTTCTGTTGTTTATCTGTGTCCTCGCAGTAAGAGTATTAGAGGAGTGTATTTGGGTGCTATCATGTTTGGTGTTTTGTATATATAGGATTATGGAGTTGTGATAGGTGGGAAGGTTTACTTGTCTCGATTTATTCGTGGTATTGTACTCGGGTGGATTTAGATTCATGTATGATTATATGCTAATTGCTCTTGATTGTGTGATGTAAATAGAGTATGCAGAGGTGTAGACCATTCAGCTACGGGGTAGCTTTGGTTATAGGAGAACAGAGGGAGAAAAGGACCCGGGGGAGGATGTTTGGAAGAAGGTTGATTCGTTTATTTTTAGATTTGTGCTGATATTATGAGACGTCTTTATGAGTATAATGAAGGGCAAGGTTGATATGTCAAGAACGACTGATATCAAAACTTATATGCAGATATTTCTCATATAAGACATTTTTCAAATCCCTCTATTCTACTTCCCCAGATGAATACCACCATCAATGATCGAATTTGTACCAGTAGTACTCTCACTCTCGGCTAAACAGTATATTTGTCTAGCAACTTCTTCAACGGTGGCAACTCTTTCTAATGGACTCTTCTTTTTCACTGCTTCTACTTTTGATTCGGGAAATTGGAGTCCCCAGTCCTAGAATGGTTGATATTAGTTCATTATATTTGTCTGATTAGGTATACGATGTTCATCGAGTAACAGTGGTATTGTGTGGTATGTAGAATTAATGGCAACAGAAGGAAAGGATGTTGGACATACCGTAAGCATTAATCCCGGTGAAACGGAATTCACACGTATTGTTGATGTGATAGCTAATGTCTTAATGAGATGTATCTGAGCAGCTTTCGTTACAGAATATGCCTAGTGTCCATAAAGTTAGCTCTTATCTTCACTCTATCCACATCCATACCCATCAGATTTTCAGGAAAAAACATACCATAGAACTCCCACCAGGTTTTACCCCTCTAAGAATCATTTCGTTAGTCATTGTATGCCCTTCTTTCTACGTATAATGAGAAAAGAAAGGAAAAATAGAAGAAGACTAACGCAATACTAGCAGTGGATATAAAACTTCCATCAGTCTTTTCTAAGTATGGTTTCACAGCATGAAAAAGCCATAAATGTGACTTTACATTCATATTAAAACAACGATCCCAATCTTCTTCGACGACGTTATCATCGAGATCTTGAAAGTTACGTATTTGAGTCCAGCCATGGTTCGATACGACTATTATCTATGTTAGGTCTTTTGATTTACAATTAAGATATAAATCTAAAAAAGAAGAATAAGAGAGTTAAAGATATAAACCTACCAACATCTAATCGTCCCCATTGCTCTATGCTCTCCTTGACCAATCTCTCTACCTCATCTTTCTTCGACATATCAGCCTTTATGGCTGTAATTCTCTTTCCATTTTCATTATCATTTGGCATCTTGCTCCGTTCAAGATCTTCCAATTCATCAACAAGACTTTGCGCTTTTGCATGACTGGAATAATAATTGATGATAACGCGAATACCATGAGAAGCAAAGAGCCGAGCTGTAGCGGCACCTAGCCCTGCCGATGAGGCGGTAATAAGAACTACAGAAGAGTGACTTAAAGGTGCCATCTTAGGTGCTTCGGATGATGGGTGGTGGATGTTGGATGTTGGATGATAGATTGCTTGTGAGGTTGAAGTGAGCGGGGCAGAAGTTACCCCGCAGTCATGCATGTGGCCCCCGTTTTCCTTCCATTTCAGTCATATTTGTATCACTGCTGAGTTTCGTCCTTCATTTAATAATTTTTACTTCTCTTGCGATATAATAAAAGATAATTGCTCATAGAATAAAATCTTGAGGTTGTCGCCTTCGGTGTTCTCTTTTTTATGCATCGAATTGAAAGCCCCTCCGCATTCTGTAATTGCCTTAAAAATACCGCCGGCATCTCCAAAATTAGTGAATTGATCACCTGGGACCTTAAATATCATCTGTGAGCATATATAATCGCCTGCATATTCGGGGAGACGGAAGGACTTTTGGTAGCAAGAAATCAACTTGCCTCCATTGGTAATCTCCGCGTTAGCAATGCGAATCTTTAACTGCCACGTGCAATCGAACATATTTTAGAGCTATGGATAGAGGTGTGGATGGTACAGTTCTCGCCACAGGAAACTTTTCAAAGTATATCGTCAAAGGACTGTCGACGGCAACGGTACATTCTGGTAGAGCATATAATAATCATTGAATCTAGTTGTCGGCAAGAAGTAACTCCAGCCTGGCATTACCAGAAAGCTATGTAAGTTTAAGATACTGACAAAATATCGGACTGGTTTGTGAGATTTGACGGTTGATTGAAAACTTTTGTTGAGAAGAAGACCGCGCAAGGTAGCCCATTGTCCATGATCAGCATCATCGATGCCAAGTTCTCCCATGAATAGTACCATTTTGAAAACCAGTTTAAACAAGGCAGGTATTAAAATTGCCATTGGCAATTGGCCGGCAATGTTGAACTTGGTAGAGGATAGAGAGATGCGAGTGGTTATACCCGGTGCACTTCGGGGGCCCACATATTGACTCAAAGGTTCATAGGCATGCCGTGGCTTGACACCGCAAGTAGAACAAGAAACAAGTGTCCCAGCTCATGTCGGAACGTGGACCAATGAATATAAGATCAATTGTACCAGGTAGAAGAAGCTCATGCTTTACACCAAAAGCAGTGTGTCTATAATAAGTTAGTTAAGAACTGAAGAGCGGACGATTAACCTACATAAAACCTATCGATTTAAGATTGCCCTTCCCCGAGAAACTGCTGTAATATCACGGAGAATAGGAACACCAGAAAAACTTCGACGGATGTGCGTTTGTTTAGATGGCTCGATCTCTCACGAAAAGACATGCTCGAATTGGAATGAATGCCTCTCTTCCTCAAACCTAGATTATAATTAGTATATGGTGAACTAAATTAACGCTTTTTGAAGATACCTTCAGAAAACATGATGAGAAACAAGATTAGTGCTTTAGTGCCAAAACATGCTGTTCCAAAGCGCAGTGTCCTGTCGCTAAGGCAATTGATAGCTTTTTCAAATATTGTATCTAACATTTTGTCAAGAAACTCTGCCATGAAGTGGAAGAGATTACTGATTGGATGACGACTGATCAATTTCCTGTTCAACCTTGTGCGAATCCTGTACCTTGCCGTCACTAGTTCTACTTTTGTTATTACCGCTTCCCTTACCGGTTCCAGGTTTAGGCTGACGAATTTCTTCTTCATCAGTATAAAGACCACTGTGAGCCTGATCAGAACCATTAATTCCGCCGTCACCGTCTTTTTCCTCTGAGATATCGTCAATCGGTAGATCTTTACGAGATTACTCGATGACCGAGCTTTTTTTCCGCTCCGTCGCCATGTTGATCGAGTGCTGATAAGAAGTTGCTCAGCTATGTACATAGTCTTTTTGTGAGAAAGTAGAAAAAGGGTGTCACAATCGATAAGAAAAGAATTAAATAGGGAAGAATAAGTCGTTTGAGTGAATTTTTTCTTAATATTGATGTAGTAGGAGAATACGAAGAAAGTAGACGCGGCAGGAAAAAGGATCTTCAAGACTGAAATCACTTACCCAGAATTATCATTCAGTCATTAATGTAGCAAGGAACCAAGCCTACCTTGATAGTATAGTCCTTCTTCTGGGGTGGGTCATATCGTTGCTGGTCGGGGCATGTCTTCGCCGGCTTCGGGGTGGCAACAAAGACCTCCGTCGCAGGTATGATTTAAAATAGGTTTTACCGGCCTCGAGATTACAACAGCTATACACAAAGCCTCTCTATTATTCCATGCCATGTTTACGCAGAAGGGGGGGGAGCTCTGGAAGCCTCTGGATGTTCTCGCTTGCTACGGCGTACCCGTTGAATATATAATAGGATACTGATAGACAACCCCTACAACTTTGCTGCAGTGTGATTACTTTTTCACTTTTTGAACAAGAAACTACATGATCATCAATACTGAACTCCTTTGCAGCTTTCCCACAAATGTTAGTAGGCAAGCATGGATGCCCAATACCAACTATCTAGATTGTTCTATCAAAGCAGTCTGTTCGGTTGATTAAGTTGCATGATGTCTTGACATATTGCCTTTGAATGCCAATCACTTGACAACTTTCCAACAGGTAATTCTAATACCGCTTGACTTCAAGATAATATCTGTGTGGTGGTTGGTCCGAGCTTTGTCGGTTATTCTCAGCTACTCTCGAGCCGAAGGGGTAAGGGGTAGCAAATGTAAGAACCCTCCGCAGACTTCATTCAAGGTATTCCCCTATTTCTCTTTTTTGCTGATATTTGGCAAGAGCAGTATCATCGAGTGGCGGCTCCGGAGTAATATACTATTGTGATAGACAGTATGGCACCGATCTGCTGTTAAATCACCAGGAAGCTTTTCCACTTGGTTGGTAACACTGATTGTGGTATACAAGGAAAGGTACGATAAATAGTTTGCATTATAGTTCCTTCTGTGGTCTAAGTAAGCGCCAGCTTGACAACGAGTACCTGTACCGGTTGTGAAACAGTATTCCAATATACTTACCAATGCTAAAGGTTTCGTCGATCGGGATGAAAGGCCGATTTGAGATTTTAATTCGTTACTGTCTTATAGGAGGGACAGCGTGTTTGGGGTACCCAACCGGTCTTTCCAATTATGATTATATCGATCGAGATCCTCTCACATAGGCTGCAGACGTGTGTCGACCAGTTTTCCATACGCAGTTTCAATTCCAATGGTAGTAAGATTGCCACCCTCACTTTAATACTTTCAGGAGTTTCGAAAGCGAAAACAGACCAGTCCCGCTCCTTTAATAAGCGAATGATTGTATAGATGGCCTAATGAGTCAAACTCATGTGGTTCATGTGAGGTCTGATAATGTGAAAAGGACAAGAATTCTTGCATCCTTCATAAATCGGCAATGAAGACATATGCACTGGCACAATTCAGATGTCGAATTGATGAATTGCGATAAATTGCACGGGTAATGACCCTGGGAGAGGAAGGTCGAGTGTTGACGGAGATATTGATAAACTCATCATCTAAGATCATACATTCCACATCGATAGGAAAAGCATCCGGTCAAAGGCCTGAAGAAGCAGTCCCAATATACCGGCAGAAGTCGACTTCTTGACCCCTGGAAAACATTCAGCCGTGCCTCAAAACTGCAGTAAGAAATTGAATGATTCCTCCATGCTTAAAAATAAGCGAGCATCGTGATGCTCAACATCTAAGATGAAGTCCCGCAGAGAAATACGCAGCACATGGAAGTATACCTCTAACAACAGCCGAGATGAAAGCAAACAGATAGAATGACGGTTGACCAAAAAGTGATTGACTAATCTGTCGAACGATACTGTCATTGGGTTCAAGCATCCCAAGATGATATACTGCCTTTTCAGAAACAAATCGTGTGGATCATCGGTTGGGTATACGCGATACAACGACTCCGGAAGGAGATAAAACTTTCAAAATCTACGCGATCGATGGGATATACTGCAATCAAAGGCCTCCCTAAAAATAAAAGACGAAAAGAGTCAATTCTTTATTAATGGGCCAAGGTCGTTACCTCGAGGTGGTTTGGGCCCTGTCAGAGGTGAAAAGTCCAGAACACCAATGGTAAGTGAATTCTCATTCATATTCATTCACATCTCAAAGAAATGATCCTCAAAAAAAATATTAAAAAAATAAAAAGGGAACCATCAGAAGATGTATTGGAAATGGACAGTCCTCAATAATTCTGCTCATCATGGAAATATGTCAAAACGTTGACAGAGCTCTAGTCCTCAATCTCTTCCATAAGTTGTATCTTTGACCTCAAAGCCAAAGATCATCTCCAGACAGATGATTGATGGTGAGATGTTTTTGGTGTCATTTTGGTGTCAGAAAATTGCCACTGACGGTGCGACAACAATAGAGTATCGATACGTTGATTGTTATTTGCAGTATATGGGATTTGAATTGCTTGATTAAAAAGCTTGTGGGTATGGGCGAAGGTTCAACAAAATCAGATGAAGGTCCGAGCTCTCTGTAACTTCTTCGGAATTTTCCGAAACTAACCCCTCCCCCACTATACAGCCAATTTGGGATAGACATATCCCACTGATGTATATACTCCGTTTAAGATTTATCTACCTAGGAAGAAAATCCTTTCTTGTACACATCTTCAAGGGACAATCATTTCTTCGAAAATAGAGTACTGTTTTGCTTGATACCCATTCTTTCCACTCTTCTTCCCCTTCCAAGAAGATCTTTACTTTTCCGAGGTCGGGAAATGGCTCCTATAACTTTGGCTGGTTCGGCGGACTCGAAGAACAAATTCGAGGACTTATCCGGTATTGATACTGCGAAATATGCCAATCCCTATGATGCTTTGATCGAAGCATGTCACGATGATCCGGTATTTAGTTTTCACTGTTGACACCATCTATCCCGTCAAACCAACAGCTCTACTTACATTTCGAGCCTTTACAAATTGATCACATAACATATGTGTGTTTGAAATACTAGTGATTTACTTGATTACATACTTTGAACTGATAATCTCCTCAGGTCGAAATACAAGCTAAGTATGCAACTCACCGAGAAACTCGAAATGCTCAACAGAAAGCCAAAATACTGGCTTCTGATTTTCAGGAAATGATAATGGATACGGTTCTTCAAAAACTGGAGGATCCCAATATTGAGCCTGGATTTGAGGATCCACGACATTGCCTGGTATTCTGGGCGCGTCCTCCCCAACATATCAAAACTCTAGTGGGGAAAATCCAACAGAAACTGCTTACTTTGGCTCCGAGTATGTGAAGATGCACCATCGCTTAGCCATGACCTTTCTAATATTCGTCTTATTTCTCACCACTGACATAAACCTCAGGGCTATGGCTTATGCCCCTGCTCAAGTTGCACCTTACTGCGCTTGAAATCACCCATTCACTGACCTCCCCGGAAATAACCTCCATCATCAATCAGCTCGGTACATCTACCATATCAACCATGACAGATTATCCCCTTCAACACCGAGCTCGTCTCATCAAACCTACACTGTCCTATGATTCCGCCGCAGTTGCCCTTTCATTTCTTCCTGCCGCCGGAGAATCACTCACCTCAACTCCGGATTCATCATCCCGCAATCCCAGAACGGCCCAAGATGATGTTTTAACCTATCATCATCTTCGCCAATCTCTATTCACGCTGGCCCGATCTACGGGTATTTCCGTTGACTCCCGTTATGTAGTTCCTAGTTCACATATCACGGTTGGACGATTTCTCACGCAGGAAAATCATGATACGCCTGAGAAACGACAAGCTTGGATAGATTTGATTGAGGAAATCAATGTGTGGCTTAAAGAGGAGTACTGGCCACGGGAGGGAGAAGGAAGAAATGAGGATGGAGAGTGGATTGTAGGACAGGAGAAGGGTTTGGATTGTAGGAGGGGCCAGCTGTGGTATGGAGGGGGTGAGACGGTTATGTTAGGAAAGGGGTTCTAAGTGTAGTCCCAAGAATACAGTAGTATACTTCTTAACACTCGGTTTTGTAGCTTCTGCTTCCTTGTATTCAAGAATGGTGAGCGTATGTTACTGTAAGACCTAGTAAAAGTATAACCGTATTAAATGAAAGGAATTTAGAGTGGTCAACATCTATTAACGGAAAAGTAAGCAAAAAGTGGCATTTTAGTGCTGTTTGATCATGAGCCCACAAATAGTCTTATAAGCTCTATTTTTAAAAAACCCCCAAGAAATCTATTCTTCATACTGGAGTCAAACAATTCAAATTCAAGTTCAATTAAATTAAATCCTCATCCCGAGCAGAGCAATAAAGTGGTAGCATCATCCATCATTTGCCTCATGGATATAGTGTGATAGGGCGCCCTCCGTAAACATAATACCGTCATAATCTATCGATTGACCTAAAAACAAAAGGATGCCTATGAAAAACCCGTCTAGGAAATGATTGGGGCCCAGTCACTACACCTTTTTGAACTTATTGGATAGAGGCCTCGTGCATTTTGACTGTTAGATGAAATTTTAGAGATGACAATACAACGACTTGTGAAGACCACTTGAATACTGAAATCACCGAAATGGATCAATATTGCGTGTAGCACTAGTTCGTAACTTGACGCGTACATCCTTGGTGTCAACCAAATCATCAATCATCAGCATGATACATAAAAAGGGAAATTAATTGTGATACATTTCTCATTGTCCACTTCCACACCATATCCTAATCACGAATATGTAAGCTACTGCAGATACCTTCAAGCATTATCACATAAAAAACCTCCAATATGGTATGTCATCAGCAGACTTTGCTATGTTTCATTTGGTAACTTAGGATGAGGTACAAGGAGTACAACCACATCGTTTTCTCCACGCCCCATCACTCGACCATTTGAGTATTTGTGTATGTTCCTCGCAAAATCCGTCGACCCATCCATTTGTCCCGATGAAAACAGAATCGCCATAGCATGCACAAATCTAGAATACCAATGCAGCACCCTTGGTCTTCTTGTCACCACTATTAAATTGTTAGCTCCGTGTTCAGATATACTGCGCTCTTCTTGGACAAGAATAAGTATTGAGAATTCATACCCAAGCTCGAAGTGCTTGCAACGCTTCAATGCCAACTGTGCCTTCGTCTTGCAAGATGTGCATTCCAATCTCAACACAACCTTCTTTGTGGTCTTTGCCTTCTTGTGGAAAACGGGTTTTGTCTGACCACCATAACCGGATTGTTTTCGATCATAACGACGCTTTCCTTGAGCGAACAACGAAGCCTAGTCCAACATATTAATTTTGATAAATCTTCGAGATGCTGATCGAGTTTTGTACCTTTCCAGCCTTGTATTGAGTGACCTTGTGTTGGGTGTGCTTTCGGCAATCCTTGCCTTTGCAGTAAGTGCGTCTGGTCTTTGGGACGTTGACCTGCGAGGAAGGAGAAATGTTAGCCTCGATTAAGCCCGTTCACAATCATTCTGCTGAAGCGCTTCTCCATATAGTTCCGCCCCCACTCCACAATCTTGACCATCATTCGATGTGTTAGAAATTGCCTGCAAAATCGTCTTGTCGCAGAGATGATGTTGACGAGGGGTTCATTCGGCAGCTCGAGGATAGCTCAATATGCGCCGGAAGCCATGGTTCTCTTCATCAATCATCATTTTCCACCAGATTGTCGCATATTTTCTCTCGAAATTCTAAATTCTCGTTCTTCCCTTTCCGACAATCCCAAGCAAGGTCTCTCCATCGGACTTGAAGCGCCCTCAACAATTCAACAACAGAGTGAGATCAAACGTACCATCTTGGCGATTTATCTGGTGGTCGCTGGGATTGATTGTTGTTAGTATCGTCGTTGATAAGAATTTTGAAATTTGGGAAACTCAAGTGTGGGAAGCTCGCTTGGAACTAGGGCCATGCCGCTTTGAGGTTTGTTATCACGTGTAAATAATGGTCACGTGTAAATGGCATGATCTGGAAGTCTAGATTTCAAACAACATCGTTGACGGTTACTTTCGTCAGTACTGTCTTGTTCATACCTGTGTGAAGGTGGTTTGGAGTTTTCGAATAACAATGACCAATAGAACTCATTCACAAAGCCTAAAGTCGAAGTCATCAGGTTTTCATCTATTTAGTCGCAGAAGAGCGCAATCATTCGCCTTTCCCTCTCTTGAATTCGTGTAGATTATCTATCACCAATCCATCTATCTCGATATCAAAATCACCTCTCAGCTTATCTTTTGACATGTAGATTTTCACTCGAAATATCTCGTTCCTTAACCATTTCTATACCTCGCCTACATGCAAAGATTTGCAAGAGATAATTCAAGTGCAAGTGAATCAGGTGTTTACCCATCATTGGATCGTTGGATTTGAGTCTACTCGTAGCTTCAAATTTCCAGCAAGTTGAAGGATCACACAACTCACAAGACAAGCAAAGCGCACGCCTCACGGCTGCTCAACATCCGAAGCACGCTACCACGCGGCAAAGGTCTACAGGAAATGTGAACAGCTCATGCATTTTTGCCAATCGACGGTGCGATTACAATACGAAAACGAATTCGAAAACAAATCAAGACGTCTGGTCATAGCTATGGACGTCATGATTTTTATTGCTTGTGGCAAAGTCAACCTTGTCCGAATTTCTTCCATATCAAGGACCTCTTTGAAATAACGTCCGGCTCATCTTGCCAAAATATTCATGGGATTGCGATTTCATGGTAACAAACAGTGCAACTTTAAATCTGGACCAGTTTGAAAGGTTTTATGATACTCAATATTCATACTCCAATTGAATCAATTCCAATTCTTTTTTAGATTAATCTGCATTCATAGCTCATGGTACAGTGACCACCTGCATAGTTCAAACCTAATTTGACACACGTCCCGGAATGCTTTGGGACCGGACAAGATCCAATCCATTTAGAATCATGGATTGAAGAAGGTTCACGTTCGTTCGTGCTCCAAACGATAGCATCTATTCTAGAAACGCTAATTGGTTAAAATGCCGATGAAAGCGGCTTCTCCTCCCAGTTTTCTGAGCGGCAAAGCAAGCATCCGAGTATATGACACTTTATTAGTCGTGGCTAGCTGTCTCAAACTACCATTATAATGGAGAATTACTTCTACCTCATAATGGTTCGGCTTTCCCTTGAATCTTTAATGTTTTCAACAATTAATTGCTGATTTGTGATTTTCTTGTGTCTTACTGCCTCGGTACATATTCGATAAGTGACAGTGGCCCGTGTATATTTTTGAAATGATTCCATTGTTCACTCTTATTTTAACTACACTTCCGATTTATTGGGTGTATACGGTTATAGTGGGATTACAGAAAAATATCACAGCTGCTAGACGCTCAGGTTTGCCATATGTGATATCCCGTGGGTCAAATCAAACTTCCTGGTTTTCACGTTCTAATCATTTCTAGCGATTAATCTTTACAACCCAATCTGGTTGATAACTCATCTTATATGGCTACCGTTCATTAAAAGACTACCAAAGTCATGGACGCAAAGTTGGATTGAGTGAGTCATGATAAGATTTACTGTCGAGGGTGTTCTAACTAAGTTTAGTTATACGACACCAGACTGGTGCTGGCAGTTACTTTATGATCCATTTGCTAAAACGGGGGATACTTTTCTGGTCGTTTCTCCTGGATCGATTCTCGTATTTGTTTCAAATGCAGAAGCAATTCATCAGATCACAAGTCGTAGAGATGCCTTCCCCAAACCTCTCAAATCATACCGTATCCTCGAGATTTTTGGTCGGAATATTATAACAACCGAAGGAATTGAATGGAGGGAGCATAGAAAGATCTCTGCACCCACTTTTACGGAAAAGAATAATGCGCTGGTGTTTGCCGAATCTTGTATACAAGCACAGGGGATGTTGAGAAAATGGCTAGGTCCTGATGGAAGAGGAGATTTGACTTTGAAAGAAGTGCCCACCGATACAATGCGAATCACGTTGCATATAATAAGTAAGATTGGATTTGGAGTCCGTTTATTATGGCCAGGGGAAAAACCGAAGACCAAGGAACAAGAATCTGTTTATAGCAGCAATGAAGCACCTGAAGGTCATACCATGAGCTTCGAGAGATCTTTGAGTACACTTTTAGAGACTTTAATCTGGGTTCTTTTTCTTCCAAAATGGCTTCTGAGTAAGTACAGGGAATAGTCCGGTGTTTATCATTACTAACCTTTTCAGAATTGATGCCTTTCCATTCCGCTCAAAAGGCATTGGAATCTTTCGAAAACTGGGGTCAATACATGAATGAATTATTTGCCCAAAAGGCTCAGGAGGCTACGGAAGGTAAAGAAAGCGAGGGTATGGATATAATGGGCTCTTTAGTGAAAAGTTCATACGGGCCAACGAGCGCGCAAGTGTCTTCTAAAACATCACCCAGCCGAGTTGAAAAAGGTCAAGCTAAACGAGTTGCCCTTTCGGATTCCGAAATCCTCGGTAATGCGTTCGTCATGATTGTCGCTGGTCATGAGACTACCGCAAACTCGATTCACTTCTCCCTTATGGAATTGGCCATCAACCCTAGATCTCAACGACAAATACAAGAGGAGGTCCAGAAAATATTTGGCGATAGCGCCCCTGAGACTTGGGATTATGATACAAATATAAACACCCTCTTGGGCGGTACGCTGGGAGCCACGCTCAATGAACAACTCCGACTCATGCCTCCTGTGGTAAATATCCCTAAATCAGTGGGTCAAGGCCATGATCAAACAATCTTTATTGATGGAAAGAAGATAATCCTTCCCGCTGGAGCTCATATCAATCTCAATACTGTTGGTGTCCATCGAAATCCTAGATATTGGCCGAACGAGCCCTCTAAGATCACATCGAGGGACGATGATCTCAATGATTTCAAACCTGAGAGATGGCTCATTAAGCAAGTAGGAAAAGATGACAGCGCGGCCGAATCTTCCGAGGAGGATGATTTTGGTAGCTTTACAGGGAACAACGCATCAGCAGCGTTATTCCGCCCAGCAAGAGGCTCGTATATTCCATTCTCTGATGGCGCTCGATCTTGCTTAGGACGAAGATTGGCTCAGGTCAAAATTATGGCTGTACTTGCTGTGATTTTCCAAAAGTACTCGATAGAGCTTGCTGTTGATGAATGGGCTACAGACGAAGAAGTTTTGGCCATGTCCATCGACGAGAAAAAAGAATTGTACAGTAAGGCGCAAAGGAAAGCAAGAGAGACGATCAGAGGGGCTACGTCAGTCATCACTTTGAAACTCCACCCAGGTTTCATCCCAGTGCGATTGATGAAGAGAGGAGAGGAGCGCTTTGTAAATATTGTGGATTAGTGCCTTACCTACATAATACCAGACAGCTTGATGGTCATTGTTTGACGCAACGGTCAAGGATGAATACAAAAGATCTTAATGTCAATTCTTAACCCATTACCCAACCTTTGTGCAGTACAAAGATTGTGTTGAAACGTCATCTTTTTATCATTACTTGCCATATGGCATCAATTTCATTATACCGTTGGATGGGGTGTAAATAAAGAGATGACTGAGAATGACGTTTGCATTACTAGGTTACTCAGGTGCATACCTGTTCCCAGCAGGTTCTAGAATACGCACATTCCTTCCCCCGGACTCGAGTATTTATACTTGAATCTCCCATGACAACGGCAAGGACAGCCTTGCATAAAGAAGATTTCCTCCAAAAATCCAAAAATCTTGAACCACTTTTAAGAAAAATTACTGTGATGCTATACAGAGCCATCAAATTCACGACGGCATCAACAGCTCTAGTTTTGGATTAGCTCTTGTCAATTCAGAGCAGTCACGTGGATCTCTAGCGCTTGTTTTGTTGACATGCTACGCGATTCCTTCCACATCGAGCACCCCACACTATTTACTCAAACTTCGCACGAGAACCGCAAAAGGCAGACTTAAAATCCCCGCACTCTCCCTCCAGACGCCTTATCAAAACATAGTAATCGTGATCGCATTCAGTAGACAACATATATCACCATGTCCGGGGTAGCAAATTGGATCAAGGCGCAACGAAAGGGGGATTTGATGGAGCTTGCAGATTCGATTGGACTTAAGTAGTATGAGACACCAAATATCTCATTAACTTTTCAATAAAACCACTAACAGTTCTTTCAGTATTGATGGTATTAAGAAGACAGAGCTTGAGCTTGCGCTTGAGGATTACCTGGTTGAGAACGAATCGCAACTAGCCAACGAAACACGACTCATACCATATTATAACAGAAGATCCGGTGCATCACCTGTAAAGAAGGAACCTTCTACCCACGACGAGATGGATACAAAAAGATCGCTGAGACGCAGAACTAGACTTGCGTCTGAAATCTCCGAGGTCGGGAATCAAACTACGTAAGTATTGCGACACGCCCCGGCGCGTTCCTCTGTTCAAAATCACTAACACTTTTTAAGTGACGATTCAGAACCCGAGCGAGCAATTGCGCGCTCTAATATGGCTCTTACACAAACTCCTCAAGCTAGCGCACTTAGGTTTACCTCAAATGTTCCTCTTCCACCATCTCCAGCCGTTGTTGCAGATGTTATCGATCGCCGCACAGCAGTTTTACGCGCAAAAGCAAATGAATACTACAAGGACTTGGGAGTCGTCGAGGCTGTGGAGACTGCCCGTGAAACTATATCAAATGTTGTGGCCCTTGAGTTCATTATGCTACTATCAGAGGCGTTACAACTTCAGCCAGAGCTTTTGGAGAACAAATACGCATTCACAATTCCTCCGATTAATTCCCTTACCACCTCCGAATACGCGGTAAAAATTCCGGATTTGTTCCTCTTATTGACCTCATCGTTTTGGAGTCCTTTTGCCTTGTGGTTATCCACAAGTCTCTTGCTGCCATTGTTTGGAGCATACTTTTTCAACTTGACAAGCAAACCTAGCACGCGATCCAAGCGATATTCCTTTGATCCATTAACATTCAATATCGTAAAAGGACTCGTAACATACATAGTCTACGGTCAAGATGCAAGTTTTGGTGGGCTCATAGATCTTGAGCAAGTGGCTAGAATCAATTCGGCACTTTATGGAGGTTACCAAAGCATACTTGTTGGAACCGGCATCGGAATCCTGGTCACAATGTACGATGCCGTTTTGAAAAAATGATTATCCCTGAGGTCACAAGCTCTCTCTCTCCGCAAGGTATGAAGATGCTTGCATAGCACAAATGAAAAGTCTATTTTTAGTCGTCGCCTTTGGATATTACTTTTCAGCGGTACGTGGTTTTTGGGCGAATCGTTTGTGGGACTGGGTGTCAGTTACTTAGCCACGCGAGTTGGAGGTTTGCATTGGTTTTCACTCGCTTCCTTGATTTCGTCTATCCTCAATTGTGCCAACATGATCTTCTCTAGTTCGAGATGCATTTGGAAGGTGTTTGAGGCGTGGTTACTTCGGGATATTTTATTTGGGCTCTGTTTTTTGAATTACTGTCTGAGGAGTTAGGAAGGCGTAAAGGAATTTGGTTGATGATGGATTGTAGTGGAATCGGATGGATAGCCTACTTTCTGGCTATTAGTTTCAGGAAACGTTTTAGGAAATATAAAATTGTCTCAAATTTTTGCTTGATTTTTGATACTTTTGACAAATCACCGGTTTTACTGATGGATTTCGTACAAAAAATAATTATATCTAAAACCTTGATAAGTGTTTGAAATATAAATATAAAACTACGTACAATTCGTCATGTATCGATATATTTTACATCTAAGTTTCGTAAAATCCGCCCTTCAAATCCCATTCCGAATCCGGCATCATATAAACGCACAAGCACAGTGAATCTCTCTTCGTCTAATACTATAGACCCATCCCATAGCATCGTAAGTCTTACTTACCTACCTAGCACGCTTAGGTGAAATTGATGGCTAAAGCGACATCATGTTTACTTCTCTATCTCTATAGACTTTGATTTGTCCTTTCAGATTGTGCTGATGTATAGGTAGGTGGAGATGATGTTGAATAAGTATCTGCCCGTTTCATTTCGCTTGCTTTGGCTTTGCTTCACTTCGCGTGATTCCTGAGAGTTTTTATTTTGTAAGGATGACTATTAGGATGATTGATTGTTTCGGAAGAAAATTTGCGGGGTGGATGGGTTGGTAGATGGGTGGATGGGTAGATAAGTAGGTAGACAGATGAATGAATGGATGAATAAATGCAAAAATGACAATTAGTTCTTTTCTACACCACATCTATTATTGCTGGTGGCTGGCTTTGAGAGCTCATGGTCTTGGAAGATACAGATATAATCGTGAATCTATCAACCAAGCCCTTTTACAGCAAGCTCTTCGTCGACAAACACGTTAGATTGAACACTGGAGCATACAGGCCCCTCTCATGGCGTAGATATTAAAAGGGTATTATAACCGGTTATTTCATAAAACACTCCTCCTATGCTTTGCTCTCGCGGCCTCACATTAGGGGGCGAGGTTTTTAAATTCTTCTTTCTGAATGGGGAAAAAAGGGATCAAGAAGCGCGATTGGTTATTTTCTCCTGGGGGGAATTTGGGATAGATGAAGGTGGATACATGGTAAACGAGGTTGTTGATTATATCGTCCGGTTTTTAGGTGAACATCGAGTTGAAGTGACAATGGCTCACAGTACTTGCATTATATGACCTAACCAGATATTGACTCTTAGTCCAACTGCCCGGTAGAAACATACATCAAGCATCAAGTGACAAGCTAACTTTTCAGCCCAACGCCCGCAAGACTGAATCAAAAACTATATCATCTGCCGGTCATACTCTAACCTCTGATCATAATTCGTAAAATCAAATTCTTTTACCCATCCCACCACAGCCTGTTCTACCTTCACAACTTCCACCATGTATTCGCCCCCTTTCAACTCGAGGCACCATCTAACTTATCCTCTGGATCTAGATTCTCCGCCCCTTCAACTAGCCCCACGATATTGTATCGTTTCGAGAAAAATGTATTCCAATCATTAAGTACACCCTTTTCTTTGTCATCAAGATCGAACCAATTGGGTGATACATCGTCAGCGGAAGTAGAAGTTTTAGCTAAAGCGCGGGAGGCATCGTGGCCGGCAAATACTGGAGGCGAAAAAGAAAGGTTAGCGAAAAGAATATGCAGTACCAAAGGAATGAGGGACGAGAAGAAGTACCATTATAAGCACCACCTGGCAGATATGCCTTGTTTCCAGTTACATCGTAAACTTTGCCCTAAGTCCCATAAGTATTTTAGGCTGCATCGTAAAACATGCAGACTCGAGGTTGTACCTTAATTGCAACATAACACTTCTCGCTATCAGCACCTTACACATGTTTGTTAGTACTTCATCCTCGGTAATCATAGAGCGGTAACAAATACCATTGCATTTTGCAAGTTCTTCCACTGAAATGGGATCGTATTTCGGTGGGTTGAGAGTAACAGGAGTTTTAGGTTCGAATTTACCAGCCATTTTGAAAATAAAGTTGTGAGAATGAAAGTTTTGTTAAAGACAAATATTTCGATGCGAGTGAAATTCAAAAGGATGATGATGTCGCCGAGGATGTGGGGTAGCGTCAATCATTAGTTAGCGCATTGCGGGAGACAGGGGTATTTGAATTAGTTCAAGCGAAATGTCTTGCAGGATAGGAAAATATGAAATTCATGAAGCTCCAGACGATCAAAGCTTCAGAATTGCGCCAACGTCAATTGTTCTTTGATTTTCATCATAAATCGTGCGTTATCTATAGAAGCAGTTTCTGAAATGTTTACACCACGATTTGCAACCTCATTTGGGTCTGCTGCGCCTTCAAATCGCGCATCACAATGTCTTCGTCAACAACGAGTCCAAGCTACACGACCAAGTAGACCTGCTACAAGAAACTCTATATCATGTCGAACACAACAGCAGAGATGGCAATCAACACGATCACAGCCTAAGGTCAACCCTTCTAAAGGTTCTTTCTCGAGAAATGTCAAGATACTCTTCAAAGCACATCCATATAGCATGACCGGAGCTACCATAGCGTATTTTACCCCTCATATTCGTTGTTATTATTTGCTATTGGAAAGACAACGCTAATTCAGTACATGTAAATTCAGCATAGGTTTTGGAGTTTTTTGTCTAGGATATATCAATTGGTGGTATAAAAAGTACATAATCGACGGCTTCAAAGCCTTTCCCGAACCTGTCGCAAAGCAACTGCGGAAAGCGCTTTACTACACCAACATGTCTCTTGAACCTAAGAACGCTGTAAAATACTATAAAGAAGCACTAAGGGTTGCCGATGAGATGGGTATGGATCCATTTTCTGATGAGTATCTTGGAATCAAGATCTCAGTTTGTGTTTTATTGGAAAAGGTACAAGCCTATGATAAGGCTATTGGTGTATACGAAATTATGAGGGATGATTGTGGGAAATGGATGGAGAAATTGGGAGATTTGGAAAGGAATATTGGAAAGAGGACAAGAATTCTTAGGAGGATGATAGAGATCAGTGTTAAAATTGCTGATTTATACAATGGGGAATATGTTTTGCAGCCGGATAAAGCAGAAGAAAGCTTGGTATATGCAGTGGAGACTATATTGAAAGAACAAATGAGAAGACAAAAAGAAGGAGTTAGACCTGGAGAAGAAGTTTGGTTATCGGATGAAGAAATGGGTGGGACTTTTGAAAGTATGTTTTCCCATCAGGGTCATCAAGTTGAATTCAGCTAATTGTCTTTCTAGCTCTGGCACACCATTACGAGGCAACAGATAAGCATCATCTCGCTGCACCATTATTTCTCCAAGCTATAGCACTATCTACTCCCGCTACCTGCCACACAGCCATATTAAGTTTGTCATCAGTTTCAATTTTCAAAAGACCACCGACTAACTACTTTTAATAGTGAACAATCTCTCTATATCATTAGCTCAACAAAATCCCCCACCAGAACCAGGTCAACCCATAATATCCCGCTCTCAACAAATCAAAATTGCCCGCGCATGGGCCACTAAATCTTTAGAAATATGCGCCAAAATATCACCACCAGAAAGAACTGAAGAGTGTGATATAGGTTGTGCAGTGGCAACACATAATCTAGGAGAATTCGCCGAAATGGATGGAAATATACAGGAAGCTAGGAGAAGATATGAAGAAGCGAGAAGTTTAGCGAGTGCGATGGGATTTAAGGAGGGTGAAGCACAGAGTGAAGAGAGGCTGGCAAGGATTATTGGAAGCTCAGAGATTATTAATAAAGGGTAAATGGTTTGAGGTTTGTGTTGCATGAAGTGTTTGAGAGGTAGTAAAAGTCTTGTTCCTTTAGTTACAGACTCAACTTGACCATGTCTTCAATGCTTAAATGGATATATACAGGAGTACAAAACCAGTAGGTCCTGTGTACAAATTTAAATTCAACTCTTTTTTCCCCGCGAACAGAAGTACAAAATTTATAAACTCTTGATTTGAGTTTAAGATGTTACACTTACATATCCCATCCATATCGAGGTTGAGGTTGTGTCGTAATGGAGAATAAAATATAAACATAAATAATAAATATTTACTCACTCCTCACTCCTTGCTTGTAAAAAATATCCATATATATCCATACATCATCTTGTCAAAAATTAAATAAGAAATAAAAAATCAGAAAAATCTATAATATTGACAAATTCATAATATTATAAACATTTATGAAATTTTCAAAATATCTGGGATATCCTATCGACCTATAGCTATCTAAGTATTCCTTCCGTAACATTACATACATTAGATCGTTGCTCATAACTCATAACTAATCAGCCATCCTCATCCTCCCCCTCTGCGTCTTCATCTCCTTCCTCATCCTCTCCACCAACCTCCCCAATTGCAAGCACACCCTCATAATCCCGGGATCCCTTAACCTTTTCCCTCATATCTCTCTTCAACGAATCAGTATCTCTAGTACTAACTATATATTTTTTTCTGCTCCATCCACTTCCACTCTCACTTCCACTTCCACTTCCAGTCTCTGTGACCCCGGTACAGAGTTTCCATTCTCCTCTATGACTTTGACTATGATTCCGCTCGATAATTTTCTGCTGTACAGCCCATTCGAGGAAGAGGGGATCGTTTTGATGGTTTATTTTTGGGGGATTGAGTGCGGGTTCGGGTTCGTGGGTTGTTTTGCAATTGCTAGGGTATGATGTTGAGTGATTGAATGGTTCTGTGTGGGTCGTATTGGGTTCTGTTATTATTCGCTCAGCACTACCCATTTTGATACCTCCTCTTGAATTCCCTCCCCCTCCCCCACCCAACCTCTCCAAATGTTTCCCCAAATGTTCCATCCTCTCATCCCAACACGTCTTCCCCTCAAAAAACCTCCCCATCGCACACCCCTCAACCGGACACCCCAAGCGACTCGGCGGTTCCCTCCTCACCCTCTCACAACTCCTCTGCAACTCCCTCACTCTCTCCTCCCACTCCCTATTAATCTTCCCCTTCCTCTTCACCTCAAACGGCGCATGCATCCTACGCAAATGCTGCGTAAATAAATCCTTACGATTAAACTCTGCTCCTTTAACCTCATATCCTCTCTGTTGCTCCATCTTCTCTCCATGCATATCTCCTCCCGTAACTTTCCTCATCGCGCTCGAATGCGATGATAGTGGTACTTTTCCGCATGCTCCTAGTGTGCATACCCATGCTTGTAGATTGAGATGTTGAGATGATACGTGGCGCTTCCATTCGTTTTTAGACGCAAATGTACTGCTGCAGCCGGCGAAATCGAAGACGCAGATGAAGGCGCGGGTGTGGGATGAGGCGATGTGACGTTGGAGGGTACTGGGGTCTTTGAATCCGGTTTGGGTACATTGTTTACAGGATAGGTTGCCGAGAGAGATTTTGGATGATTTGGAGGTATATGTAGAGGAGGGTTTGGAGATGCGGTTGCGTTTTGTGTTGGGGGGTGAGATGGTTTTGGTGGTATAGCTGCGTTTACGTGGATTTCGGGTTGAGGGACGTGGTGTGTACTCTGCATCGGATGGTTCTTCTTCTTCTTCCTCTTCAATGTCGGGGGGAAGTAATTCCGGATCAATTTCTGCTTCGTTATTCATTTCCACATTGGTTTCAACATCAACATCTAGTTCGCTTTCTGCATCAACATCAGTATCAGCATCAGCATCAGAAGTTGTAGATGTATTATCATTATTAGAAGCTTTAGCCGAAACTGCTCGAGGAGAAGCAGCATCTCGAATCGAAGCTCCCAATCCCTCATCTCTATAATGTAATATATGAGAAGCTAATTTATGACTGCTCGAGTCAGAAGTTTGAATTGCATAATCGGTATGCATATCCATATTGGGATATGAATCATCGACTTCGAATTTGACTTCTTGCGGATCAGCAAATGCTTGAACATCGCTAAGATTAACACAAGGATATCCAGCGGGTTGTAGTGGTTGAGTGTGTGATTGATTATATATATCGGTGAATCTTTGAGTAGGTGTGGTGTGAGTTGTGATGGGTAGATTATAATATTCTTGACCTTGAGGGGAATAGAGTCCATCATGATACCAATCTGTTTCGGTACCTGGACTTCGGGCACTACTGCAGTTGGAAGATAATTCTTGGGATGGAGAAGGTGATATCATTCTTGTTCGAGAATCTTGAGGAAAGACACCAACGGGTTCGAATGCTCTAGGTAATGGTCGGGAAAAGTTATTGAAGTGAGTCATGGTTGCATCGGCAGTGAAGAAAGCTCTTCCTGGCTCTGTGATAAATCTTTGTAAAGGTTGTTGTGGTAGATCTTGTTGATAATCGAAATCTGGAGAGACAATTTGAGCTTGACGAAGAAGTGGATCAATATTCTCCATCCAGGAACTTTCAATATCCATCAAATCCTCATGACGGAAAGATTGAGGATTTGATCTATTCTCTTGAAAGAAAGGTGGTTCCATAGTCGAGTATGATAAATTATCGTATGACATGATATCCAGAATTTGAAAGTGGATAGTAGTCAAGATAAATGCGTCTTCGAATTGCTTTTTTTGGTATTTGGCCCCCAGATCCTGAATGGGGAGAAATAGGGTGAAGCTAAGCTTCTAGAAGAGAAAGATAAACAAAGTTAGTAAGCTTGGAAGGAATAAAGCTGGTATTTGTTTGTTTTCTTATTGATCCTACGACGGGTATGAGCTTCTTGTGTATCAAAATTGAGCATATGAGTTGGGGCGACAGGACAAAAGAGACAACAAATAGAACAAACAGACTCACCAGAATTCGAGTATCTCCACTTTGATGCGGCGCGACTACAACAGATCCTTTGAGTTAAGAAGCAAACAATCAATCTTTTTTCGTACACGACCTTTGATTTATTTATGCAACCAAAACAGTGAATTTAAATATCAGCTCATGAAAATTCACTGGTAGAATTTCAATCATGTAGATAGGAGGTATGTAGGTATTCAGACTTGGAGAAAGTCTGAGGCGAAGCAACGAAGATGAGATAGGCGCAGTTTATTATCTGTAGTAAATATGATGTATGAAGATGATGTATGAAGATGACACCAAAAACAAAGAAATAAGAATCGGCACATCAAATCTCTAAAGTATGCGAACCAAGCCCCAGCAATATCCTCACAACGTTCATGTATGCATCATTTAGAACTGACATATTTTGCGCATACCAAAAGAGCCGCATCTCATAATAAAAAACATGGATGCATACCTAGAAGAAGGTAGCTAAAGGTCCCACAGATAACCCGGTGAAGAATCATTCTCTCATACATTCGAAAGTTTCCACAAGTCAAAGGTGCTGCATAAACCCCTGAGTCTCTAGAAATGTATTGGAGATCTATGACTCCCCTAAAGCTGCGCCTCTCATTCTTCTCATGTCCCTTGAAGGCTTGAAGGGTTGAAGCACCTATGCGGGGCACTGCAGATAACCTCAAGACTCAAGTGATTTTCCCCATGTCGAATATCGATGATGTGAGTGGATACTTGACCGAGCCAGTTAATTGTGCAGATTGACTCTCTCCATACATTGCATCTGCTCTCTTGGAGCTTTCCCTTTTTCTACAACCTTTGAACACGCATTCTACATCATAACCAATGAGAGAAAGAATTTACCCTTGCAAATGGCGTAAGGCGGATAAGGCGACCGCTAGGCAGACCTCGACGTCAATTCTTCAGAATTTGTTCACTCTTTTGAATGTGATGTGTGATATGAAAGCCACTCGGTCATCAGGAAACTTCTCCGTTGGGCTCACAGGAGAAACATTATTTTTCATCCGCTCCCTTTGTTTCGTTCTTCGTTTGCTACGCCATTTATTCCAAAGTAGAGCATAGAATATACTGACTGCAGAACCATATGCATGTAACACCAAATTCGCATTCGTTTCTATCCAAAGCACATCTTCATTTCATTACACAGCCAAGAATATTCTCGAATCCTTCCTCATTTCCATCATTTCCTCTTTTTCATCTACCCATCCATCCATCAAATTTACTTACTTTCGGGCGTCAGCATTTTCAGCCCCTAAAATATCCAACAATCATCAGAAATGGAACACTGGCCCCCAATTTTCAAAGATGATTGATTTGTTTGGACACCGAGATAACAACTCACCACACACACACACACACACACACACACACACACACAACTCATCTAATTGGTTTAAGCCAGGAACCAAATTCTTAGTTTTGACGGGAGCGAGCGTTTAATATTTGTTGTAAATTGTAATATAGACTTTTCATTCGTTCGTTCGGTCGGTCGGTCGCTCGTTGGCATTCCTATTCTTTACTTTGAACTTAGACACTTTCTCATTTACCCCATTCTATACCCCCCCCAAAAAACCCCTCCAAGTACTAAACCAAATACTCTAGAACACAAAAATACTTGCCCATAATTATCATCATCTTCAACAAATAAGTAAAAGCATATTATTTCTATCTCCATCTCCATCTCCATCTCCATACAACCTCTCTAGCTACTTCTCTCAAACCACCCTAACCTCGCTTAACCTTAGTCCATAGCTTATCCACGAACTAGTAGTATAATATAATATACAAATAATACAAACTTTACACAGTCTACAAAAATACAAAACTATCCAAAACTATCAAAACAAAATTTAATAAACCTCAAAGAATAAAAAACCAAACCAAACTAATTCACCGAGTCATGGGGGCGGGGAAAAGAGCCGGGGGAGAAATCGTAGAACGAATAAAAACTTACTCCATAAAGAATAAATAATAAATAAGTCAATAATCTTAAAATATTTTAATAAGTATATATATTATATATACTCGTAAATATATAAGTAAGTATCAAATCATATCAAACCAAATCCAAAGCCCGAGATCTTTCCTCTTTTGTAACTTTGTAATTTCCTAACTTCTTTAGATTGGTAAGTTAAGTAGGTAGGTAAGCAAATAAGTAGGTAAGTAAGCAAGTAAGCAATCTAAACTGCATATAAACTACAAAGCGAAAGCTACTCGGTGGATGCTATGGATGTGAGATGTATGTAATGATGAAGAACTCGAAGGGTCCTGTTGGTTGGAGTAGATAGGTATGTACACCAATGGTAAAAAAATATCCAGTGCAGGTGCGGCTGAGAATCTTATTTTTTTATTAAAAAAAATTCTGGTTTACTTAGACAATCAACCGATCAATCAATCATTGGAGCATTCATTCAACACGGTCAATAACACGGTCAGTAAAAAGTAAGACGTATCCAAAATATCAATTACCCATCATCTACTCCATCCAATATACTTAGAAGAGTCATTTTACGAGTTACTGTGCCCCTCGCTAAGCTTTACATTCCATGGAAAATCAGAGAAAAAAGCTTGCATTTCCTTCTTCCGCAAGGTTAAATGTGTAAACGCCAAAGGAAAAAAAATCCCTGGATATATTCCTCCCTGTTGTTTTCAAATTCCTACCCAATACCATCATCATAGTAAGCCATATATACTTTTACACAATTATTCTTCAATTGATAGCCATCATTAAACTATTTGCTGAAACTTTAAAAATTCCTCTAACATGTTAAAATATTTCATCCCTTTCAGTTGTCAATTAAATATCGTTTGCAATCATTACAGTTATGATGATTGCAGGAGGTACATCTTGGGCTGAGAGTAAGAGTACGTCCTGGATCATCCGAACACTGACACTATAGTTATGTTAGCATTGCATGCGGCACAATAAATGATAATGCTTACACAGTAAACAATCTCCATAATCTTCGTATACTTTGTAGGTCTATCATTTCCATCATCGCTGCATTCTCGTTTCTTCGAGAGCGTAGATTCTTGTCCTACCAAAGCGGGTGAAGCTCTGGTGATACCCACAGGCTCGGGTGAACTTCTACCAGAATCGTTGATAGAATTGGGGGAAGGTTCCTCACGAAAGTCTTTTGGTGAAGACTCACCTAAAGAATTTGGACTGGCAGCATCACCTTTAGGTTTATCGCCATCAACTGGTATCCAATCCTGGATGCCTTGTTTTTGCATATCCCTACGTCCCACGAAGTGGTCATCTATATGGTCAAACCTTTCTGTCCATGCATCAAGACCTTTCCTCTTAAGATTAATGAGCTTCTCACAAAAACCGCACCAGAAACGAGACTGGCAGTTCCGACCGATACGACAAGCTTCGACCTTTATCCTGACAGCATCTTGATCAACCATACCATGATCTTTTTTCAGATGATCTTGGAACGTTTGACGGCGATAAGAGACTTTGGCACATACGCCTCCTTCGGGTTTCTCCTTATCACAGCGCCAACTTTCGAGTTGGAAGTGTTGTGAGTTCTCGTGCCGTTTCCAATCATTTTTACTTCCAAATGTTTTATTGCAGGTTAAGAAAGTGCAGCCATATGGCCTCTCGTGCCGTTTCATATGTTTTCTGTCTAATTGTTAGCAATAGTCATGCAAGAGAAAATTTGATCTTACTTTAACTCGCAAGGTCGTCCTTTGAACTTTTCACAAACCTGACAGATAACTTGCTTGTCACTTTTATTACTAGCAACGGATCCAATATTTTGTTTTCGAGTATGATTTGGATCCTTTTGAATAATGTAACCAAACTTCTGAAGGGTTTTGAAAACTTCGACCGCTTTTTCCTGGGCCACAGAATCATACTTTGTTGAAGATATGAACTTTTCAAGGTCATCTATTGAGCATGCAGCTTTATCTGCTGTGGATCCCGAGGCATCATCGGAAGAAGATTTTTCATTAGGCAAAACTTTCCGTCCCATCGATAATGCACCAACGTTAGATGCATTTTTCGTCTCAGCCAACGCAGATCTAATTACTTCGGTAATGGCTGCATCTGTGGCTGAGACGCTACTAAGGTGAGGCACCTTAGCTGCAGATGGCAATGGATTTCTCTCCACCGATGGACGGCTTACATGATCAAGGTTAACATCCAATGCACTCTTCGTACCCACTGGGGTTGATAGAACACTTTCCACTGGGATCTTGGTGATAAATCCAATTGGATGACGATGTAATTCAGATGGTTGAATGGTATCTCTGGTATGTGGATCCGAGGTAGGATTGTTCGGTCCAAATATGGTAGTGCTCCTGTCATTGGCATCCGGGACGAAAGGTTTGTCAATTGTGGTATCCATTGGGGCAACCAGATTCCGGATCAATTCTGGACAGGTGGGCTTGCAATTGGATTTATTATCCTGGGCTCTGGGTAAACTTTCATTAATTTCCCTGTTGTGCGAGGTACTTTGGGTAGACACTTCTGCGGGAAGCGGGGCATCTCGAGTCAAACCTGACTGTTCGTAAAATTCTCCCCTAAGATATGTTAGTCGCTCATATTGTTGCCAAAATCTTCAGAGACCTACTCTTGTATAATTTTCTCAAAACTCTGTTCCGATTCGATGTAATTGGAATGAACTCGTTTTATATGGCTCCGAAAGTTGTCGAGTCGGGGCCAAACTTTGTCCTTGGACTTACATCCGGATACGACACAGTGGTATTTCTTCATTGATTCCGCCCTCGTTGTCGTAGCTAAAGGGTGTTTGCTCTTGGTGTGTCGATCTAGATCGTTGGTTGTGCTAAATCCTTCGGTCCTTGTGCAACCTGGATACTTGCAGACAAAAGGCTTTTTATGTCGTAAATCATGCTTCCTATAAAAAAATTAGTATACTTCCTCAACCCGTATTGCTGTAACACGTACTTTAACTCTGATTTCGTTTTGACGGATTTTTGACATGTTGAACAAAATAGACCTGGAGAGTTGGTTGACGCCAGTAGATGTAATGGCCATGGTTCGCTTGTCCTATTCTCACGGGATTGCAATGCTTCATTTAATCCTGGAAATTGTTGATAATCTGCAACATGACCTGCTAAGCTTTGGCAGTCTTGATCGCGATCACTCACATCAGTGCTAAAGACTGAAGCATTTCCAACACTTTTTCTGGTTCCATATCCGGAATCTGAATGTGGTGGAGCGCCGAAATGAAAGGATCCATTTCCCAAATGATCTTGTTCACGACATGGTCCAGCAAAAGCAACGGGTGCTCGATTATTTGAACGAACCTTGATACTTGCTCTCTCGTCCTGGACAGGATCTGAAATAGTCTTAGGATACCAAGGTCCATCATTATCAGCATACCATTGGAGTAATGGGGCCTGGCTTGTCGTCCGATCCACTGGCAGTTGTTGGATCCTGGAAATTGGTTCATATGGGGAGTTCAAATCAGAAAATCCATGGGGAGGTAGCGTTGGTTCCCAAGTAATTGAAGGGAAAGCCGGGTGTGGAAGGGTCCATGAATTACTCAGATCAATCTCAATAGGTTGAGGTGGAAGATCCAATGATGGTGGAGCCATCTCTCCACGTGTGGAACCATATCCGGAGTCTGAAGTATGCATCGAGGGAGGTGAAGGATAATACTAGATTTTCCATCAGATCGAAGCTCAGGAGAGAATTGAAGGGTAAAAGAAATGAATCGTACTAGGGGTGGAAGACTCCCATTACGGGGATCGTTCGGATGCATCGACATTACTATTAGCTGTCAGTCAATTCATCGACAAGTATCTTTTCAAATCAATATAACAAACCAACAGAAAATATCGAAAAATATGGAGGAAGAGTTCTGGATTTTTCGACTCTCAGAGTTGAACGAGTCTACCAAAACTATCTTCGATATGAGCAGAGCTGTTAGCACTGAGTGAGAAAGCAAAGACAACCTTTACACACACGGGGCAAATGTCCCGAACGCTTAGAAGTAATCATGAATCACGAAATCATGACTATGAATGACATACGACTATAAATAGATATTGAACGTGGAAGTGAAAAAGTATACCTAGGATGGTTCGCGAAGAGAAGAAAGAGTAGTAAGGCGAATATTAAAAATTGAATATATGCAGTCCTGATGAAGAAGCAACGATAAAGTGCTTACAAGGTGGTGCGCGTACTATTTTCTTTAGTGATGATCATGAGGGAATGATTTCGGTGAGAGAATCGGGCATTGAGACAGATACCGGGCGCGCAACAATGGAAGAAAGGTACGACAACCAATTAATAAAGCCTCTCCTCCTTGGAAAAGCAAACAAATAATGAGCAATTAAACTAAATAAAACAAAATAGTGAATTTATATAGATCAGATGTAGAAGATTCTTTTCATCAAATCATCTTCATTTCTATACTGCAGTATACATTAAGGTTGAAGATAATAATAAGAAATGAAATGAAAAAGGCAAAATGTATGTCTGTACGGAGTATGATAAGTGAGGCTGCGGCTGCATCTGAGAAAAGAAGTGAGGCGAGCAACCGAAAAAAAGATTCTGGGGGAGATGTTCGCGAAAATAGGCAGCAGCTGGTCTGGGTAACTGGATTGAAATCAAACTCACTCACCCACCGTCTTGTCTTGAATCTTTTTACGCCCTGTTCATATGTATATTACGGAGTAGATGTATATGGGCATCATGAGGTTGTAATAAAATAGGTATGAAGAACAATAAACTTGAAGAATATAATTTTCCTACTTAAAATATTCATGCATACAGTACCTTTTTCGCCTTCCATTTATGTCCGTGTATGCCTCTTTGGGGGCCAGAATGATGAAAAGGAAATAAATGCTACCCTGAAAGTCAGGGATGCATCAAAAGTCATCATCACGTGTAAGTCACATGATCCCATTTTGAATAGACATGAGTTTTACGAGGATTACAACTTTCGATCATGCAGATGAGAGATTTGCTAGATTGATGGATAACTTTCTTGCCTCTTTAACTTCTCCATTCTTTATTCCCTGTTTTCATCTTCATGAATGGTGCTACAAAATGTGAGGAGGACACTCCGTCATACCAAATACATGCAAACACAAGCGACATCCCTATGACGTCTCTATCCACTCGACAGCAGTTTGATCTCTTGCACAGCTTTTGATGTGTAAGACATTGTATTTGATATCCTATTTTCTTACTCGATCCATGATCCTTCATCATAATATCACAATCTACCTCCGCCCACCTCAAATTTCTCAAACTCGATGCACTCGAGCTCCTCTAGGATCTTACCTACTTACACTCAAAATCAATTCTCATAACAACACACCTATCCAAGCCTCAAGAACAAAAAGAACATTCATAATGCCATTACAAAATCATGCAAATGCAACGGAATCCTACAGACATACACATGTACACTGCCACATGCATGCGAGCTGCCGATAGCACCTGTGCAGCTTCCCTCCATACCGCATCGATCCTTTCATAAGTGAAGCTGTAACCGAATGCGATGGTGTACTACATCAAGTCAGCCCCTTGATGCTACTCTGTATACTTTATATCGGTAGTCTCGAATAGGTTCGTTTTTCCGCAGTGCTGGTGATTATGTAGTCGAGTCGGTTATGAACGTTGGCTCTAAGTTGTTTTTAATGATTGGGTTCTAGACAGCTTTTGCTGTCTCATCTTTTCTTGCTTTTGTGCTTACTTTGTTAGTTGAGAAGATGAGCAGTAGTGGAGAGATTGGAAACTGCAGCTGGTTGAGTATATACTAGAGCATTTTATGTATTGGAGCATGCGCAACTAGACTGGAAGTAGGCTGAAACCAAAAATAATCCAAAGTCAAATTATCTACCACCCTCTCCATAAATCTTATAATCTACAGAACATTCAAAAAAGAATCCGAATCACATCTAGCGAAATCAGAGAGCATGAACCCTTATAGCCATGCTGCACTAATAGTTAGCAAGATAACAGCCTCAAGAACACATTACCACTCAATCACTAAAAGTCTCCAGTTAAATATAATCTTGAATCTCGAGTATACATTAGATCATAGAAACTCATTGAATGAATCACTGGCAAAAAATCTAAATAATCCAAATAGTACAATATCCGGAACTTAAAATCATGATATATAAACAAAGTCCAGCAGAATCAGAACAGACGAACAAGCAATATCGACACCAATCTATGACAAAAACCATAGCTATCCTCCCCCCCTAGACTCTAATAGAAAATAAGAAGGCTAGCCCCAATATCTCTGTACAAATTTCTTAATAGATATCCATATCATAAACACATCATAAACTATAAACCAACATCTTTATTACCTATAAAATCAACCAAACCCTTTAATCCAAGTCCTTCGTTATTTATATATATATACAAGTATAAACTTATTATCCAATCCATCTCATCTTCAATCATATATATTGCATACCGAAGTGCTACCCACCTATTCCTAAAAAAATAAGATAGGAGTTGTGTACTAGATTCCCATGTACCTCTACAATCAAACTAGGATTGGGTACATCAATTATCTCAGATTGGTAGGTTACTGTTCACTGAGCTGGTTTTATTAGATGATAGATAGTGGAAGAAAGATAAAAAGGGAATGAACAAGAAATAAAAGTAGGTATAGATACATATAGTATATGTGTTTAGCTGTGGAAATAATTAGATATAAACATATCTATTATAAGGAA